ATGGATTTGACCATGGCGTTATGCTCCTTGCCTTCTTCTTGCTGGATGATGTACGTGGTTTTGTTCACCTATGCAGAATAAATATGTTACGCTCTCATCCTCATCATATACATATCCATGGTCCATGCATGGAGTTCATAATGTGCTGGTAGAGAGTCAACAAGACATTACATCTCTATGGTGTGGTTTCCCAGACATAAACTAAGCCTAGTCCTGGATTAAAAATCAACCTCAAATGCATTTTAGTCCAGGATTAGGCTTTATCTGTGTTGGGAAGCAGCCCCTAAGAGAGGTAAATGTCTATTGTTATGTGATAAACCCCATAGTATCTGTTAATAAAGTTAATCATCAAAATGTACCTATCATGAATAGTTACAACTAATCTTTGTAAGACGGCAACTCAACTTTAGTTGAGTAGAATGCAGTGATGTCCCCTGTTGTGTTCTGTCCCCAAATGCTGAGAATAAATTAAAAAGAGATGGAAGAAAAATAATGAATCAACAAGAATAGATGTAATTGTTTCTCCTCTGACAGCATATCCTACCTAATCTTCAAATACATCTTAATTGAAGCATAATGATAATGAATATTTTTGACTATTCTAGATGTTGAAATTAGTCAAACTATTCATATCAAGAGAGATGACTGAGATGAGAGAATGAGACAGATTTATTTGAAAACACCTTCATTAGGGTATTTTTGTGGGTTACAATGAGATGATGCTTTAAATTTATCAAATCATGTTTGGAACTTATTCTCTTTCAATCTTAGGAAATTTCCCATGAAAGGTAGGGGTTTGCTTTTGGACTACTAGACCAAAGAAAAGAACATGAAGAGAGCAAAAGCTCCATCTTGTGGTGTGAAAGGAGAATGGAACTTCAGAACAAACAAATACATTCCCAGGTACTCTACACTACAGAACTGTGAGCAGTATACTACTATACTATACTATACTAAACTATACTATAGTAAGCATCTCATAATATAACCACTAGCATTCAATAAGGTAACAAATACTAGATGCAGGTAAGATATTGGTTAATGTCAAGAATCTGTGAGATGGAGTACCAGAAGATATTGTGGGATCTGAATTCATTCAAACCAATGATAATGTTTTGGGGGGAACAAATACAATGATAATGAATAGCAAATGAATGAGACAAATTAAGTGGGAATTAAATATCCCCCTGGGAGCAAACAAGATATCATATGTAGTGGACCCTTGTCTTGTGAATGACATGGCAGACAATATTCTACCTGGTTGAAGGCCTAGTTTCATCATTACGAAGGCCTATATGGTACATTTGGTGATGGAGACGTTTATAGTTGAGGAGGTCTATGAGACAGGCTGTGTCTCAAACGGCACCCTATTCCCTACAGTGAGGGAAAAAAGTATTTGATCCCCTGCTGATTTTGTACATTTGCCCACTGACAAAGAAATGATCCGTCTATAATTTTAATGGTAGGTTTATTTGAACAGTGAGAGACAGAATAACAACAACAAAATCCAGAAAAACGCATGTCAAAAATGTTATAAATTGATTTGCATTTTAATGAGGGAAATAAGTGTTTGACCCCCTCTCAATCAGAAAGATTTCTGGCTCCCAGGTGTCTTTTATACAGGTAACGAGCTGAGATTAGGAGCACACTCTTAAAGGGAGTGCTCCTAATCTCCGCTTGTTACCTGTATAAAAGACACCTGTCCACAGAAGCAATCAATCAGATTCCAAACTCTCCACCATGGCCAAAACCAAAGAGCTCTCCAAGGATGTCAGGGACAAGATTGTAGACCTACACAAGGCTGGAATGGGCAACAAGACCATCGCCAAGCAGCTTGGTGAGAAGGTGACAACAGTTGGTGCGATTATTCACAAATGGAAGAAACACAAAATAACTGTCAATCTCCCTCGGCCTGGGGCTCCATGCAAGATCTCACCTCGTGGAGTTGCAATGATCATGAGAACGGTGAGGAATCAGCCCAGAACTACACGGGAGGATCTTGTCAATGATCTCAAGGCAGCAGGGACCATAGTCACCAAGAAAACAATTGGTACGCCGTGAAGGACTGAAATCCTGCAGCGCCCGCAAGGTCCCCCTGCTCAAGAAAGCACATATACAGGGCCATCTGAAGTTTGCCAATGAACATCTGAATGATTCAGAGGAGAACTGGGTGAAAGTGTTGTGGTCAGATGAGACCAAAATCGAGCTCTTTGGCATTAACTCAACTCGCCGTGTTTGGAGGTGGAGGAATGCTGCCTATGACCCCAAGAACACCATCCCCACCGTCAAACATGGAGGTGGAAACATTATGCTTTGGGGGTGTTTTTCTGCTAAGGGGACAGGACAACTTCACCGCATCAAAGGGACAATGGACGGGGCCATGTACCATCAAATCTTGGGTGAGAACCTCCTTCCCTCAGCCAGGGCATTGAAAATGGGTCGTTGGATGGGTATTCCAGCATGACAATGACCCAAAACACACGGCCAAGGCAACAAAGGAGTGGCTCAAGAAGAAGCACATTAAGGTCCTGGAGTGGCCTAGCCAGTCTCCAGACCTTAATCCCATAGAAAATCTGTGGAGGGAGCTGAAGGTTCGAGTTGCCAAACGTCAGCCTCGAAACCTTAATGACTTGGAGAAGATCTGCAAAGAGGAGTGGAACAAAATCCCTCCTGAGATGTGTGCAAACCTGGTGGCCAACTACAAGAAACGTCTGACCTCTGTGATTGCCAACAAGGGTTTTGCCACCAAGTACTAAGTCATGTTTTGCAGAGGGGTCAAATACTTATTTCCCTCATTAAAATGCAATTCAATTCATAACATTTTTGACATGCGTTTTTCTGGATTGTTTTGTTGTTATTCTGTCTCTCACTGTTCAAATAAACCTACCATTAAAATTATGGACTGATCATGTCTTTGTCCGTGGGCAAACGTACAAAATCAGCAGGGGATCAAATACTTTTTTCCCCTCACTGTATATAGTGCACTACTTTTGACCAGAGCCCTATGTGCCCTGGTCAAAAGTAGTGAACTATAAAGGGAATAGGATGCCTTTTGAGATGCAGACATAATGTCACTTACAGAGATTTGATGGACTAGAGATCTAGGGATGCTCCATGACAATTGTGTAGCAAGACTATATTGCTATATTATATGAAACGCTTAATTGCTGATTAAAGCCAGCAACCACTGTACGTGTAGATATAGTATGCAGGAGATTTACAATATCTTGAGTTGACAGTCATTGAGTGCACTATCAGTGCTTAGTTAAGAGATAAACTGCAAAACTTACATTGAGTCTGGCCCATTTATCTGACTTGTACATTGTTAGGGGAATTGTAGATAATAGACCATTAAATGAAGCTTAAATAAAAACCCAGTTGATGCATGTGCCATGGATATTTTCCACACAAATGGAAAAGATGTAACAAAAGGAAAAAATGGAAGTAATTGATTTCAAATTAATTGTGCAAAGGTCTCCCTGATGGGTACCATCTGTCAAAACAAGCTGTACGTTTAGTAAATCTAATCATAATTAATTAAATGGCTAACAAATGACATACATCATAGTTAACACTTGTAGAAACTACCGCAGGAACTGTTATGAAACAAATTAGCTTTAACAATTAAAGAAAATGACATCACATAACTAAATATTACACTCATTTCCGCCAGTCATATTTCTTAATGAATTCTCTAATTAATTTAATTCACACATTGTGCATAATTTGGAGCTGAAAATGTCAGTGGGTCAGACTTAACAACCATTCTTGCTGGCTGTCGGTTTCAACGAGAGACATATTAGCAAAACATGACCTCTATATAAATTACAGAGACCAAATGTTGTCATTTTAATTCCAAGGTCTGATTAGCATGTTCTAAATATATCATACAACTACATGTTGTCCATTTTACACATGCCAGTGTCAAATTAAGAGCTTCAATTGTTAGTCAAGTTTTTTGCATAATCCCTCTGTTTCAAAAGAAAATGGCTACCAGTAAACAAGGACAACCTACAGCATATTGAGAATTCAGTACCTATCCCTATAACACAACATAGGATGTATATTCATTCACCTTAAACCAAAAAGCTAATCACTGCATGTTTGTGGGTGCCACAATAGTTAAACGATAATGAATACATGAATAACTTGTCCAATGAATAGGACATATAAACTGACACATGCATTGCGAGGCTTCAGGGCTTTCCTGGGGCCAATAATTTAGCCAAGGCACTAATGAAAGCCCATGTACTGTGGCTAAGGGCAGCCACCAGGGGAGACAACACAACACCCACCCCGCCTCCCTCTCTCTCTCGCTCTCTCTCTCTCGCACTCTCTCTCTCGCGCTCTCTCTCTCTCTATCCAAGTGGTGGGGGCACTTAATGGTCTGGATGGAGCCAATAGGGCTCCCAAGAGATGCCTGCTGATGAAGTGAAAACCTGTTGTTTCCTCTCTGAATCACTGCCTAATGGCTATAGCAATACAGCTTTTATGACGCCTTTGTGTGTGTATGTGTGTGTGTGTGTGTGTGTGTGAAAGAGAGAGAGAGAGAGAGAGAGAGAGAGAGAGAGAGAGAGAGAGAGAGAGAGAGAGAGAGAGAGAGAGAGTGAGTGACAAACACACAGTTGAACGTTTTACTTGAATTGTGAATATATTCACTGCACCTCTATTACAGACACAAAAGTAACTGACACACCTGTACTGGTTACACCAGTTATGCTTGATTATTATGCCTATTATCACCATACTGACACATCACACTTTGCTATAATTTGAAAGTTGGAAAAACGGCCGTGCAAAGGTCCATTACTGACTAAAAGACTGTCGGGGAAAAAAAACTCATCAAAATAATCCGTTTTTGTTTAGGCCTACACTTACTGTGCGATGCATCATGTATTCTTTTGTTGATATTAGACAGGCCACACCCACTTTCACGCCACCTTCCCTGTACCCTATAACGATTTGCTTAAAATTAAGCTATCTATCCAATCACTGTGTGTGCTCTCAAAGTGCAAAGTTGAAATATGTCGTTGATGGCCGCTACCTCCACGACAGAACAGGGGCAAATGTGTCAAAGAAGTAAATATATGGATGTCTGTGGTTTTCCATTCTTCTCAAGGAAATATGATCCTTTAACTTCTCATTCGAAGATATTTAGGTGAGGGCAAGTAACAACAAAATGCAAGATAATTGCCTGTGCATAATAGTGGACAGCGCATGGATACTTGTGATATACATTGTAACATTCAGGGAAGTAAATTGACAAAGTGGAGGTAAGTTTTATTGATACATTGTTGCGTTTGTGTTTCATGTTTTTCGCTACAAAATGCACACTAGTTCAACGACTTTTGACAGACGATTCCAACGGTAGTTTGGCCAAAGCAATCTTCTCCGCGTGGAATGCCACGCAAGCAATAGCCTACAACTATTATAACTACCCAACGTAAAGAGAAGTTGCACGGGGGATGAAGTATGACTTGCGCATGCATTAATAAGATATTGTGACCTATTATATCTAGACTTACTAAAATGAAGGCTATAAAGAAATACTTTAGGGGTAGTGGGAGGGCATTTGCATTTGTTTTTATTGCATCTGTCATTTGGCTACTTTTCGATATGGCAGCACTTCGCCTTTCAATAAATGATGTTAACAGCCAACTTTTGAAAGAAAGCATGGTGAAGGAAAGGCTGGCTGACATACAGCAGGCCACGAAACGTACGAAGTTGGTGCATAGGGGGTTTAAAAATCCAGTACAGAGAGTAGACTTAGACCTGGACGATGCAGGTAATGAAGGTCCAGTCCAGAATGAAAAGAAAGTCCTTGAAGTGGACAGAAAGCGAGGGCCTACTGTCAAGAAGGACCCGCAGTTGAAGGACAAAATCAACTCACATGAGCAACAAGGGGGGAATGCCCAACCAAAGTCAGAACATGGAAATGTTCTCATTTTTAAGCCTAACCAAATCGAAGCTGTGACTCATGTCACAGTACAGTTGAGTGTGCCTTTGAATACGAAAGCACCTGTCAAAGATACTTTGCCTGTCAAAGACGTGTCAAAAAAGGCAGTGGACTTGATGAAGTCTGAGGATAAGAAAGTGGCATTGCTGGCAGCAGTGCTCTCGAACTTCACCAAAGTGCCACCTGGTGTTCAGGAAGGAAAACATGTTGAAACATTTACCTCAAAGACAGAGAAAGCAGAGGAAAATATAGACCAAGTGCAAAAAGCCAAAGACAATATGGACTCCAAGACAAAGGAGGAAGTCCTAGATTCACTGGAGCCTGGCATACAAGAAAGTTTTATAAAATACAAAGTTGCGGTGGACCCCACAGTTAAACCTGTCAAAAAGGATGTACTGAACGGAAAAGAGGTGGTTGTCAATATTAAGGACAAACAAATCAATGCAGTTGATAAAGGTAAGCCTTATGCTGTAAATGAGAACTTACCACCTACAGCAAAGCCTGAACTCCAACCAGAAGTTCCCACAAACTCCACAGATGTTCGAAACACAGGTGTCCACAAAGTGCTGTCATTAGACATGACCCAAGCCCCCAGAGATGCCAATGCAATTGGGCAATTTGGGCAAGCAGCCATGGTGCCCAGTGACAAAGAGCAGGAGGCGAGGAACCGGTGGAATGAAGGCCATTTCAACGTGTACCTGAGTGACCAGATCCCTGTGGACCGAGCCATCCCAGACACCAGACCTAATACGTGAGTCACACTGTGGCCTGGAGCACATCATGCATACTCACGTACTCCCACACTCATATTACTCACACAGTGATATAGTACGGTTAGCATTAGGTAACCTCTCTTGTTACTGTGTTGTGTTGTTTTCCAGGTGTTCTGAGAGTGTGGTCCATGATGACTTGCCCACCACCAGTGTGATCTTCTGCTTTGTGGACGAGGTGTGGTCCACTTTGCTCCGGTCCGTCCACAGTGTCCTCAACCGCTCTCCACCACACCTTATCAAAGAGATCATCCTGGTGGATGACTTTAGTACCAAAGGTAAGAGAGGGGAGGGGCTTTCCTGGTAAACAGTACAGACTGGGTTCAGAGTTTTTCCCAGCCATGGGAAATTCTGGGCCCAACTGAAGAACATTTAATTTCATGACTCTAGGACCAAGAAAATGTATTCAAAATAGTTAATGAAGTTTCGTAATTGTATTTTCTTAATGGTAAAATATGGCCGTTTTTTGCAATATACTGTAAAGTTGCAGATTTGGAGATCTTCAGACAGCAACGATATCTTATAAATAGGACCTGGAGTTTTTCCTGGGCAGGTCACATGGTCAGAATAAACTCAGGGCCCTAAACACACTTGCTCTCATCCACTCTTTCAGAATATCTCAAGGACCACCTGGATGTGTACATGTCCCAGTTTCCCAAAGTGCGGATTGTCCGTCTGCAGGAGAGGCAGGGCCTGATCCGAGCTAGGCTGGCAGGAGCCACCATTGCCAAAGGTAACCAACCACATCCTGCTATATCGTATCACCACTCTCGTTTACCTTGTATGCTGTTTAAACAAAAAATGATATGCAAAGAATCTCAATCTTGTCCTCCCGTACATGTGGCAGTCAAGCGTCCCTGTGGTTTTGTTTGTCTTCAGTGGTTTGTTTGCATTTCCCTTCAGGTGATGTTTTGACTTTTCTTGACTCACATATTGAATGCAATGTGGGCTGGTTGGAACCTCTGCTGGAGAGAGTGTACATGGACAGGAGGAAAGTGGCATGCCCAGTCATCGAAGTCATCAGTGACAAGGACATGAGGTAATGTATCATTACCATAACATTATATGCTTGCGTTTCGAATGGCAAAATATTTCCTATATAGTACATCAGTTACTTTTTTACATTACACTTAAAACTACTACTACTACTTTGAAAGTTGTAGCTATCAATTGTCTTGTTAGCAATCACCCATATTAGCAGACATATTTAATTTCAAACTTCACATTTCTCTAGTGTAGGCTACTTATTGTAATTATCAATATCAGTAACATTTTCTCAAGAAGTGATCGTTTCGGTCGGTGTTGCTACATTTTGGTTTATCGTCCCAGCTCTAATTTCAGAGTTATTATTCAACCTTATTGTCTATGAGTTAGACCCCCAAATTTGGTATGTCAGTACCATCTGGGGGCAAAATGTCTCATAGTGATTTTATTTTTTTAGGTCTATTTACCTAGACTGGGCCGTTCTGGCTCGGACACAGCTTACTTAGCTGACTATGTCCCTAAAGTTGCAAAATGTGTGATAGCATTGCAGCAATGGAAGCTTTCTATGTGTTACCTACAAATCATACATCATTAGAAAGATTTTCCGAATATTTCGGTCAACAGACTTCTGACTTCTTGGGTTCAAATTGGACTTACCTGTATACATTGCTGTAAAAAGTAACCCTGATAACCCAAGAGTTTTATCAGCTTATTTTTATACAGCCAGGTTTTATGCAACATCCTGTTTACTGGAAGTCAGTCCCTGTAATGTTGATTCATCTGAGTTATCTTGAGTTTTGTGCATTTCATTCCCTAATGCATTGTTAATCCAGTAATGTCATATTGTTTAATGATCTGTTTACAGCTATGTGTTGGTGGACAACTTCCAAAGAGGGGTATTCAAATGGCCCTTGGTGTTTTGGTGGAGCAGGTTATCAGAGGACATCATTAAGAAGAATCACATCAAGGATTCAGATCCTATCAGGTAATTCTGGATTTCATTACACCCCTCATTACTGTATGTTTATATACACAGCAAATTGGCCAGTGTTACCTAGTGTTGATTTTTCAGTGTAGCATTTCTAATGTTGATTCAGGAGTTAAATTAACTCTAAGATTGAGAATTACACATCACTCTGCAGGTGAGCATAATGTGACTTGCAGGCCTGATGTGGCCTGTAAACCAGGAGGTTCCTAACACCACTGTGTTAGGGTAAAACATGTCTGTCAAAGTAAGGCCTCCCCACTGGTTGAATCAACGTTGTTTCCACGTCATTTCAATGAAATTACATCGAACCAACATGGAATAGAAGTTGAATTGTCTGTGCCCAGTGGGTTATGATATATATATTTGCATATTTGTTTCTAGCTCCAAACGTGCTCACTCTCCCGCCCTTTATCTTTCACCCCTCCACTTCCCTCCTTCCCGCTCACTCACCAAGTTACTCTCACTTTCACTACACTAGACAGAGCTTTCACTCTTGAGCCTAATATGTACACAACAATACTCCCATAATCCAAAAAGTAAATATCAGAACGAGCAATGTCAGAGTCCGGAATATATATACAGTTGAAGTTGGAAGTTTACATACACTTAGGTTGGAGTCATTAAAACTTGTTTTTCAACCACTCCACAAATTTCTTGTTAACAAACTATAGTTTCTACTTTGTGCATGACACAAGTCATTTTTCCAACAATTGTTTACAGACAAATTATTTAATTTATAGTTCACTGTATCACAATTCCAGTGGGTCAGAAGTTTACATACACTAAGTTGACTGTGCCTTTAAACAGCTTGGAAAATTCCAGAAAATGATGTCATGGCTTTAGAAGCTTCTGATAGGCTAATTGACATAATTTGAGTCAATTGGAGGTGTACCTGTGGATGTATTTCAAGGCCTACATTCAAACTCAGTGCCTCTTTGCTTGACATCATGGGAAAATCATGGGAAAATCAAAAGAAATCAGCCAAGACCTAAAAAAAAGTCTGGTTCATCCTTGGGAGCAATTTCCAAACGCCTGAAGGTACCACGTTCATCTGTACAAACAATAGTACGCAAGTATAAACACCATGGGACCACGCAGTTGTCATACTGCTCAGGAAGGAGATGCGTTCTGTCTCCTAGAGATTAACGTACTTTGGTGCGAAAACTGCAAATTAATCCCATGAACAACAGCAAAGGACCTTGTGAAGATGCTGGAGGAAACAGGTTCAAAAGTATCTATATCCACAGTAAAACAATATAAAGTGGGTAAAACAGTATGTAAACATTATTATTGAAGTGACCAGTGTTCAATGACATGTGGTAAAGCAGTCTCTTAAGCTTCAGGTCAGGGTACTGGGCGAAAGCCAGCTAGTGGTGACTGTTTAAGAGTCTGATGGCCTGGAGCTGTTTCTTTGTCCCAGCTTTGATCCACCTGTAGTGTCTCATCCTTCTAGATGGTAGTAGGGTGAACCGGCCGTCGCTCGGGTGGCTGAGGTCCTTGATGATCTTCTTGGCCTTCCTGAGACATCGGGTGCTGTAGATGTCCTGGAGGGCAGGCAGTGTGCCCCCAATGATGCGTTGGGCTGACCACACCACCCTCTGGAGAGCCCTGCGGTTGCGGGAAGTGAAATTGCCGTACCAGGGGTGATACAGCCCAACAGGATGCTCTCAATGGTGCATCTGTAGAAGTTTGTGAAGATCTTACTGGCAATGCCGAATTTCTTCGGCCCTCTGAGGTTGAAGAGGCGCTGTTACGCCTTTTCACCACACTGTCTGTGTAAAAGGACCATTTCAGGTCATCAGTGATGTGCGCGCCAAAGAACTTGAAGTTTTTGACCCTCTCCAACTCTGCCCCGTCGATGTGAATTGGGATGTGCTCTCTCTGATATCTCCTGTAGTCCATGATCAGCTCCTTTTGTTTTGTTGACGTAGAGGGAGAGGCACCACTTCCTCCCTGTAGGCTATCTCGTCATTGTTGGGAATCAGGCCTACCACTGCTGTGTCGTCAGCAAACTTGTTGATCGAGTTGGAGACGTGAGTGGCAACGCAGTCATGGGTGAACAGGAAGTACAGGAGGGGGCTGAGCACGTACCCCTGTGGGGCCCCGTGTTGATGATCTTCTTGGCGGAGGTGTTGTTACCTATCTTCACCACTTGGGCCCAGTTGCACAGGGCGGGGTTCAGACCCAGGGCCCTGAGCTTAGGGATGAGCTTGGATGGCATGATGGTGTTGAAGGCTAAGCTGTAGTCGATGAACAGCATTCTTACATAGGTATTTCTCCTGTCCAGGTGGGATAGGGCAGTGTGCAATGCAATGCCGATTGCGTCGTCCGTGGATCTGTTGGAACGGTATGCGAATTGTAGTGGGTTTAGGGTGTCGGGTAAGGTGGAGGTGATATGGTCCTTAACTAGCCTCTCAAAGCACTTCATTATGACCAGAAGTGAGTGCTACAGGGTGATAGTCATTTAGTTCAGTTACCTTCGCTTTCTTGGGTACAGGACCAATGGTGGACATCTTGAAGCAAGTGGGGACAGCAGACTGGGATATGGAGAGATTGAATATGTCCGTAAACTCTCCAGCCAGCTGGTCTGCACATGCTCTGACAACATGGCTTGGATCAAATCAAATTGTATTTGTCACATGCACTGAATACAACAGGTGTAGACCTTACCATGGAATGCTTACTTACAAGCCCTTAACCAACAATGCAGTTCAAGAAATAGAGTTAAGAAAATATTTACTAAATAAACTAAAGTAAAAAATAAAATATGAAGTAACACAATAAAATAACAATACAGGGGGTACCGGTACCGAGTCAATGTGCGGGGGTACAGGTTAGTCGAGGTAATTTGTAAAAAAAAATGTGATTAATTGTTCAGCAGACTTATGGCTTGGGGGTAGAAGATGTTAAGGAGCCTTTTGGACCTAGACTTGGCGCTCCGTTACCGCTTGCCTTGCGGTAGCAGAGAGAACAATCTATGACTTGGGTGACTGGCGTCTTTGACAATTTTTTGACACTGCCTACTATATAGGTCCTGGATAGGGGAAAAGGTATTGTCGTGCCCTCTTCACGACTGTCTTGGTGTGTTTCGACCATGAACAGTCAGCCCTCCTTTTCCTGTAGTCCACGATCAGCTCCTTTGTCTTGCTCACTTTGAGGGAGAGGTTGTTGTCCTGGCACCACACTGCCAGGTCTCTGACCTCCTTCCTATAGGCTGTCTCACCACTGTCGGTGGTCAGGCCTACCACTGTTGTGTCGTCAGCAAACTTAATGATGGTGTTGGAGTCGTGCTTGGCCATGCAGTTGTGGGTGAACAGGGAGCACAGGAGGGGACTACCCACGGACCACTGAGGGGCCCCCGTGTTGAGGATCAGCGTGGCAGATGTGTTGTTGCCTACCCTTACCCCCTTGGGGTGGCATGTCAGGAAGTCCAGGATCCAGTTGCAGAGGGAGGTGTTTAGTCCCAGGGACACTATGGTGTTGAACGCTGAGCTGTGGTCAATGAACAGCATTCTCACATAGGTGCTCCTTTTGTCCAGGTGGGAAAGGGCAGTGTGGAGTGCGATTGAGGTTCCGTCATCTGTGGATCTGTTGGGGTGGTATGCGAATTGGAGTGGGTCTAGGCTTTCCGGGATGATGGTGTTGATGTGAGCCATGACCAGCCTTTCAGACGTGAGTGCTACGGGGCAGTAGTCATTTAGGCAGGTTACCTTCGCTTTCTTGGACACAGGGACTATGGTGGTCTGCTTGAAACATGTAGGTATTACAGACTCTGTCAGGGAGAGGTTGAAAATGTCAGTGAAGACACTTGCCAGTTGGTCCGTGCATGCTCTGAGGACACGTCCTGGTAATCTGTCTGGCCCCGCAGCCTTGTGAATGTTGACCTGTTTAAAGGTCTTGCTCACATCTGCTACGGAGAGCGTGATCACACAGTCGTCCAGAACAGCTGATGCTCTCATGCATGCTTCAGTGTTGCTTGCCTTGAAGAGAGCATAAAAGACATTTAGCTCATCTGGTAGGCAAGCGTCACTGGGAAGCTCGCGGCTGGGTTTCCCTTTGTAGTCCGTAATAGTTTGTAAGCCCTGCCACATCCGACGAGCGTCAGAGCCGGTGTAGTAGGATTCAATCTTAGTCCTGTATTGACGCTTTGCCTGCTTGATGGTTCGTCTGAGGGCATAGCGGGATTTCTTATAAGCGTCCGGATCAGTGTCCCGCTCCTTGAAAGCGGCAGCTCTAGCCTTTAGCTCGGTGCAGATGTTGCCTGTAATCCATGGCTTCTGGTTGGGATATGTACGTACGGTCTCTGTGGGGACGATGTCATTGGTTCACTTATTCCAGTCTGTGCTAGAAAAACAGTCCTGTAGTGTAGCATCCGCGTCAAATGACCACTTCTGTATTGATTGAGTCACTGGGACTTTCTGCAGGAATCAGGAGGATATAATTATGGTCAGATTTGCCAAATGGAGAGCGAGGGAGAGCTTTGTGTGCATCTCTGTGTGTGTGGAGTAAAGGTGGTCTAGAGTTTATTTATTTTTTGGTTGCACATGTGACATGCTGGTAGAAATTAGGTAAAACGGATTTAAGTTTGCCTGCATTACAGTCCCTGGCCACTAGGAGCGCCACTTTTGGATGAGCATTTTCTTGTTTGCTTATGGCCTTATACAGCTCAATGAGTGTGGTCTTAGTGCCAGCATCGGTTTATGGTGGTAAATAGACGGCTACGAAAAATAGATAGTGTGGTCTACAGCTCGCTTGAGGTAGTCTACCTCAGGCGAGCAATACCTTGAGACCTCCTTAATATTAGACATCGCGCACCAGCTGTTATTGACAAATAGACACACACCACCACCCCTCGGCTTACCAGATGTAGCTGTTCTGTCCTGCCGATGCACGGAAAACCCAGCCAATTTATATTATCCGTGTCGTCTTTCAGCAACGACTCGGTGAAACGTAAGATATTTGTTTTTAATGTCCCATTGGTAGGATAGTCTCGAGCGGAGATCATACAGTTTATTCTCCAGTGATTGCACGTTGGCCAATAGAACGGATGGTAGAAGCGGGTTACCCACTCGCCGACGAATTCTCACAAGGCACCCCCGATATATATACCCTTGTATTTCCGTCTTTTCTTCATGCTAATGACGGGGATTTGGGCCTGGTCTCGGAGAAGCAGTATATCCTTCATGTCGGACTCATTAAAGAATAAAATCTTAATCCAGTTTGAGGAGAGTAATCGCTGTTCTGATATCCAGAAGCTCTTTTCGGTCATAAGAGACGGTAGCAGCAACATTATGTACAAAATAAGTTACAAACAATGCGAAAAAACACAAAATAGTGCAGTTGGTTAGGAGCCGGTAAAACAGCAGCCATCCCCTCCGCCACCATTATTATTATCTGGGGCGAGGGTTAACACGCTTAAATGACTTACTCACGTCGGCCACGGAGAACGAGAGCACACAGTCCTCGTGAGCGGAGGGGGCCCGCTTCGGCGGCTCAATGTTTTCCTCGAAGTTGGCGAAGATGATGTTTAGCTTATCCGGGAGCGAGGCGTTGATGTCCACGACGAGACTGGCTTTCCCTTTTTAATCCGGGATTGTCTGGAGTCCCTGCCGCATACGTCTCGTGTCTGAGCCGTTGAATTGCGACTCCACTTTGTCCCTGTACTGTTGTTTTACCTCTTTGATTGCCTTACGGAGGTCATAGCTGGTCTGTTTGTACACATCCATGTTCCCAGTCACCTTGCTATGGTTAAATGCGGTGGTTCGCGCTTTCAGTTTTGTGCGAATGCTGCCATCTTTCCACGGTTTTTGGTTTGGATAAGTTCTAATCCACTATGCACTTCCTGATTAACCCAGTCACGGAGTCAGAGTATGCGTCAACTATTCTGAGGTGACCCAGAACATTTCCCAGTCCGCGTGATCAAAACGACCATGTCTCTATCACTAACAAATACAGTCATGGGTGGTAACTCTACAATTCACTCAAAGGCTCACTGGGAAATGATATCAGAGGGCATAGCTTAGTGAGGGAGTGGCTTTCAATTGGTTATTCATGGCCACCGTGAGTGGAAGTGTTGTGCCAGTTTAAATGGTCTATGGTTATGTTAATTAAAGTTTGAGCATGTCCACTGCCAGTTCTTAAGTCTTTGTAAATGTGACCGACCGCCTCGATTCGGTCTTATGTAGCAACATTTGAAATTGTGTTTTGTACATTGGATAAAAGTAGAGACTCAGAGCTAGGAAATGGTATGTCATACACTGCAGTTGAGAAACAATGGGAAAGTTATTTTCAGTTTATGAACTTGTAACCCCACTTTTGAGAAAATGGCCCTTGAATGTTTTGGTACACCTACTGGAGAGCTCTTCTTTGTCTACACCCATTCAGCATCACTCACACCCTCTTAAGCCTTAGCCCCACCCATCTCTTTAAGGATTCACATGTGAAGCCATGTGGTAAACACACGCTATATCAAATAAAATGTAAGTTTATTTGTCACATGCACAGGATACAGAAGGTGTAAATGGTACACTGAAATGGTTACTTGCATAGTAGCAATATCAAAAACAGAAAGTGTCCAGATAAAAATATTTTATAATTATTAGATGACCCTTACACGACACACTTGTCTAAATTGATGGGTCATGTGAAAGAAATGCTATAACCACCCCCCAGCCACATCTAGCTACAGTAAGTAAATTGGTCACTATTGTCTAGACATGTACACATGTTCATGAAATACAATAGATGGCCGTAATCACCCCCAGAAACACCTGGCTAATTTGATGGGTCATGTAATAATCTGGCCAAAGTGCAGTCTTTGGTTTAGCTAAAAAATTAACCGGCATAATCCCAACTCATACTACTACCAATGCAAACATTATCATAGCTGTAGTATGAATCTGCAGGTAGCTAAAAGCTAACAAACTAGGTTCAATGTTAGCTAGCTAACATTAGGCTATAACTAGCAGTGCAAATGGAATTCTGATTCGAATAATATTACTACACAGATCATACACGTAACGTTAAGCTAACGTTCGCTAGCTAACTAACAGTACGCTTTAACTTGCAATAAAAGCGACTTTCTGACAAAATTTGAAATGTATATCAGAAAATGTAGCTAGACTCTTACCCGTGTACATGGATGAACGCTTCACGGCAGACTGGAACCATTTAACTCCATTTTGTTTGTAGCTACATCTTGTTTGGCCAGCGTTGTGTCAAGTCACTCCGGTTCACATTGACCGTGGCGTGTGCAGAAAGTAGCCCATCACTTTTTCCAACTGATCTGTCGATAGTGCCTGCTAAATTCAGGGCATCAATGTTGTTGAGAAAAGTAGCAAAACTTTTGTAGTTCTCGACGGCTAACATTATATCTTTCAAAAACGGTGCGGTAGAAAGGACTATCAACACATACTAAACAGCTCACATTACAGACAGAAGCACGCTACATGGAAGACCAATCCAAACTCATCTCCCGGCATGTCCAGCCCATCCATTATCTCAGCCAATCATGGCTAGTGGGAAGGTTCCTGTCTTTTTCCGAGGCTAAACCAACAAGGCTCTTAATTTAGTAATTTTATTCATATTTATGGATGGAATACAAGTTTGTTATTAAGGCACATGAAAGTTCACTTGTTCCAGAAGGAATTTCTGCCAAAAAAACGCATTTAGATAAAAAATACATGTTTACGTTCAAATGCCTCTCCTGTGAAGTAGTGACGTATGACATAGGCATAGTTTCCTGAAACGAGTCACAAATGCTTACATAAGAGCATATGGCAATAAAGACTTGTAAATATTATTGCAATGTCCTTAACCCAACACTGAGTGACCTTGTCAAGAGATACAGACCTCTTGATGTAATGGTTAAAAATACTTGGAGGTGTTAATGCATAAAACCATTGGTGTAAACTATATACACTTCCTAGTGTTAAAAATACTAAATGAGGTGTTATTGCATAACACTAAAAGTGTTAATTCCCTAACACTGACAAACTGTAACAGCGTTGGCACTAAACAGTGTTAATCTAACACTCAAAAGTGTGGACCTGTATAGACAGGTTTCCATCCAAGCGTTTTATGCGTGTAAAGTACATGATGGAAACAGAAAGAAAAAAATGGTGGTGAAAGCATGCAGTTTATTAAGCTACAGATTAAATATATTATGATGAACTTCACAGGGGGATAAAAGTGCAAGGGGATGAGCTTGATGCTCCTTTGCAATAAATATTGAGGGTCTTATTCTGGTGACATGATAATCCGTGCTTGGCTGCCGTTTGACAAATAATCATAATCTCATAATGTAGGCTATACGTGCGCTCTAGCCAACAGTATTTCTTATTCGGTACATGGCAATTTAACCGCAAAAGGTATTTTTATGTGTACTACGTCATCACGCACAGCCATTTTTATCTGCAACAAGTCAATTAGATGGAAACACATCTCTGGTGGGAAAATGAGCATATTGTTTTAATGCACATTTTGGAATATTCGCATGAAAATCTTCCGCCAATTGAATGGAAACTAGCTAGTGTTGATTTAACACTGGAGAATTTGCTGTGTAGTAACAGTTGCGGATTAGTTCAAGTACTTAAGTATTGGGCCCCTCTTCCAATACTTCAGAAATTCATCCTTCGTTCCTTGTTTCCTTCAGTTAATCATCAATCTATACATGATTGGATAGGTCAATGCTACTTTACACCAACCTATTACTAATCCAATCAATTGAGATCAGTGATTACATCAAGGGAAGGAGGAAGGAAGGATGCAGGATGGAAGTATTCCAACCAGGCTCTGACTCATATCTAAATTCCTCTAAGTTGATAAGACCAAGGAGCAATGTTGTGTTTGTGATAAGGTGAGGAATACAATCTCGGGGAAAACGTTTTGCAACGAAAACAAATGGTACTTATTAGATAAATTCAGCTTAGTCCCTCCCTAGTGAATGACTGTGTGCTTTGTTCCTCAGGTGTCCCATCATGGCAGGAGGCCTTTTCTCCATTGATAAAAAGTACTTCTATGAACTGGGCTCTTATGATCCTGGCCTGGACGTATGGGGCGGAGAGAACATGGAGATCTCTTTTAAGGTCAGTTTGACTAATTTCTTCCCACTGTTTTCTATTAGAGATTGGACTATTTGCAGATTTGCAGGTTTGTTATTCTTCAACCTGTTCCAGGATCACACATTTTAACTCTGCCCTTATCTCGGCTCATGATCAAGGCCAAGGCTGCGTCTTAAATGGCAACCTATACCCTATATAGTGCACTACTTTTGACCAGAGCCCTATGAGCAATAGGGTGCCATGTGGGACTTAGATCAAATGTTCTGATCACATCCTACCCTATGTTGTTGATTTTGCAGATTTGGATGTGTGGAGGTGAGATCGAGATCATCCCATGTTCCAGAGTGGGCCACATTTTCCGAGCCGCGAACCCGTACAAGTTCCCCAAGGACAGGCAGAAGACGGTCGAGCGTAACCTGGCCAGGGTGGCAGAGGTGTGGTTGGATGAGTACAAGGACCTGTTCTACGGCCATGGATACTACCATCTGCTGGATAGGAGTGTCATCGACATTGGCAACCTCACAGACCAGATCGAGTTCCGGAAGAAGTGCAAGAGCTTCAAATGGTACCTGGATAATGTGTACCCAGACATGGTCGCTCCATTGGTCAAAGCTGAGGGGCTGGTAGGTGTACTTGTTATAATATTAATAATTGATTCGATTTATATAGCTCTTTTCCAGATGCTCAAAGCCCATACGTATTATGCACCTTGCAGTTTATTCCTGCGGTTTATAACTTCATTTGTCACACTTACAATCATTGTCTTTACTGAATTAGTAGGAATCCAGTTTTTGCTTTTAGGCTGTTTAGCTTAGAATATATTGCATTAGTGCTCTTTTTCTGGCAAACAATTGTTACTCTTACTTTCTTTCTTTTTTCATTAAATTATCCCTCATCTCAATGCTGACAGACAATTGTACTTTTCTTCTGAGAGGGGGATGTTTACTTGTCTGCTCTCAATGCCTCTGCAACACAAACAGATGTCAATTGTCCTCTTATCTGAACAAAAAGTGACTGTCTCTTCAGGCTTGTGACAGTTCTCTGTCAGGATTTGTTGAAGGCACAGAATGGAAAGAAAGGAGAAGCTTTTCTACTGTCAATATGGTGCAGTGACACTACCCATGTAAACTACTGTTATGACTGCTCTAGGCATTGCCATGTAATGTTGTACCTGTGATCCTCCTTTGCTAGGTTTTCAATCGTGGAGTAAGAAAATGCCTCGCTCTGCAGAAAGGCTCCCTTGCCTTTGAGAGATGTGATCTCAGCAAGCTGGTAAATACTCCTAAATTCCCCATTTGAAATGAAAAGCTTTCTTATGACTATAACTCACTATGGAATGAATCCCTGTTGAGTTTAACACACACCCAACCGGCCTTGAAAACCCCATAGTTATCATGAAGCCGAATTATATGTCTGACCCTAAGGGTGCATCCCAAATTGCACCCTATTCCCTAGCTAGTGCACTACCATATGGGCCCCGGTCAAAAGCAGTGCACTATATAGTTAATAGTGCCATTTGGGACGCATCTTAACTCCCCTCTGTCCCTAAACCTCAGAGTCAGCACTTCAATTACACCTGGATGAGGCACGTTCGCCAGAAAGATGTCTGTGTCACTGCTCAGGGCAAAGGTAGCAGACTGGCTATGCAGCCGTGTGACAACACCAAGCCACAGCTACGCTGGCTCCACAAGGACTCCAACTCCGCTCTGGTAGGTTCGCTTTAGAGTGGGCCTTCACCTCCTCTACTAGAGTTCTCTGAATATCGATTTTGTGAAGAATATTTGTTATTCTTAAACCAAGCTGTTGTCAGCTACTAGCATACATAATATGCTTGATGAAGGTTGAAGTGAAGAGGAAATTCAGCAACTCTTGGAGGATAGTGGAAGTTGATAGAACTGCTTCTTTATTGTTAAAACCATCGCTTTTTGGCCCTTAGCCTTCATCAGGGTTTGCACCTCAATTCATAACACCTTGGTTGGAGAGCGAGGTAGCAGCAGTGTTCCTTTGCTGAACGAAAGTTAACATTATGCACATTGTGATTCTTACTGTACTATTTCCCTGTGTTGTCTTTGCTCAGGTGGAGCACCTCGTTACGGAGCTTGCTCCCCAGCGTTTGTGTCTTGAGGCTGGGGCTCTGGGTGACAGCATGCAGCTGAAGGAGTGTGAGCCTACCAGTCCCTACCAGAAGTGGCAGTTCACACACTACCACACTGGTTGACGGGAGTACAGGGCTACAGCACTATTCATGCATTAGTGATTGACTGTACTGTGTGTATTTGGATGTGGTCAGTGTATGCTGCAATAGGAATATGCATGGTGCGGCTGGTATGTTGGTGTGAGGGTGGTGTTGGGATGTGCAATGTTTTTTTTTTCTCTTCCTTTTATCATGATCAACCTTACCTTGGAATTTGAATGTTGCATGACTTATGAGGCCCTGGAATGATTTGAAAGGGCAGCTGTTACACAATATAAGTACAGTGTTTTTGGAAGCATAGTTTACTGGTTTTGCACTTTTTATTGAGATCTTTGGTTTTACATGTTTGTTCATCAGCTTTGCAAAAAAAAATAATTGTCGGTAAAGAGCCGTGGCAAACGACCACGAATGTGCCTTGACTATTTACATGAGGATTTTTCTACAGATGTTCTCTATATTGTAGCACTCGGATTGACCGCACAATTTACCATATTTCTTACTGTTTCAGTGCCAAATAGCTGGATATATTATGCCACTTTTCCATGATTCATGTAAATACAGTACCAGCCAAATGTTTGGACACACCTACTCATTCAAGGGTTTTTATTTTTACTATTTGTTACATTGTAGAATAATAGTGAAGACATCAAAACGATGAAATGACACGTATGGAATCATGTAGTATCCAAAAAAGTGTTAAACAAATCTTCCCTTTGCCTTGATGACAGCTTTGCACACTCTTGGCATTCTCTCAACCAGCTTCACCTGGAATGCTTTTCCAACAGTCTTGAAGGAGTTCCCACATATGCTGAGCACTTGTTGGCTGCTTTTCCTTCACTCTGCCGTCCGACTCATCCCAAACCATCTCAATTGGGTTGAGGTCAGGGGATTGTGGAGGCCAGGTCATCTGATGCAGCACTCCATCACTCTCCTTCTTGGTAAAATAGCCCTTACACAGCCTGGAGGTGTGTTGGGTCATTGTCCTGTTGAAAAACAAATTATAGTCCCACTAAGCCCAAACCAGATTGGATGGCGTATCGCTGCAGAATGCTGTGGTAGCTATGCTTGTTAAGTGTGCCTTGAATTCTAAATAAATCGCAGACAGTGTCACCAACAAAGCACCCCCACAACATGATACCTCCTCCTCCGTGCTTTACGGTGGGAACTCCACATGCGGAGATCATCCGTTCACCCACACCGCGTCTCACAAAGACACAGCGGTTTGAACCAAAAATCTCCAATTTGGACTCCAGACCAAAGGACACATTTCCACCGGTCTAATGTCCATTGCTCGTGTTTCTTGGCCCAAGCAGGTCTCTTCTTCTTATTGGTGTCCTTTAGTAGTGGTTTCTTTGCAGCAATTCGACTAGGCCTGATTCACACAGTGCTCTCTGAACAGTTGATGTTGAGATGTGTCTGTTACTTGAACTCTGTGAAGCATTTATTCGGGATGCAATTTCTGAGGCTGGTAACTCTAATGAAGTTATCCTCTGCAGCAGAGGTAACTCTGGGTCTTCCGTTCCTATGGCGGTCCTCATGAGAGCCAGTTTCATCATAGCGCTTGATGGTTTTTGCGACTGCACTTGAAGAAACTTTTAAAGTTCTTGAAATTGTCAGTATTGACTGACCTTCATGTCTTAAAGTAATGATGGACTGTTGTTTCTCTTTGCTTATTTGAGCTGTTCTTGCCATAATATGGACTTGGTCTTTTACCAAATAGGGCTATCTTCTGTATACCACCCATACCTTGTCACAACACAACTGATTGGCTCAAACGCATTAAGAAGGAAAGAAATTCCACAAATTAACTTTTAAGAAGGCACACCTGTAAATTGAAATGGATTCCAGGTGACGACCTCATGAAGCTGGTTGAGAGAATGCCAAGAGTGTGCAAAGCTGTCATCAAGGCAAAGGGTGGCTATTTGAAGAATCTCACATAAAATATATTATGATTTGTTTAACGCTTTTTGGGTTACTACATGATTCCATATGTGTTATTTCATAGTTTTGATGTCTTCACTATTATTCTACAATGTAGAAAATAGTAAAAATAAAGAAAAACTCTTGAATGAGTAGGTGTGTCCAAACTTTTGACTGGTAGTGTACATATTTTCTGTCCATGTACTGTTTTCACTGTTTGAAATACCATTTGATGAATTGAAATGCATGCAGTGTGCATGAGCCTGTGTAGACGTTACATATCACAGATGTCTTTAGCAACGCTATCCGACTTTCTTTTATGGAGATAAAATAGAATAGCATTGTATTATGTGAGGTTATGACTCAGCTCCGGGTTGATGTTTCCCCTAGGTACAGATCTAGGATCAGCTTCCCTGCCCCCAATCCTAACCTCAAGGATTAGTGGGGAAAATGCAAAACTGACCCAAGATCAGTGTCTAGGGGCAACTTCACCCTACACCTTATGGCTCACCTGGGATAATAAGAGCTGCTTCTTTTTTACTATATGGTTATGGGTTTAATACATACTGTATGGACATTTCTCTGACACTAGAGGGGACTGTTGTTGATGCCAAAGATGAAAAATATGATTTTCTTTCTCCTTTTCTGAATAGATATTAAAGATGATCATTTAATGTGGGTCCCTTTTTCCAATGTTATGCAACAGATATTTCACGAGAACATATAGGCCTACACTTTCTCACTGTTCTTATGGAAATATTACAGTACAGAAAGGTATGGCTGTTACAGAGAGCTTTAGGGGTTAATTTTAGTAGTTGAGTTCTTATAGCCTAAAGTGAACTAAACCCAGCAAAAAAAGAAAGTCCCTTTTTCAGGACCCTGTCTTTCAAAGATAATTCGTAAAAATCCAAATAACTTCACAGATCTTCATTGTAAAGGGTTTAAACACTGTTTCCCATGCTTGTTCAATGAACCATAAACAATTAATGAACATGCACCTGTGGAACGGTCATTAAGACACTTAACAGCTTACAGACGGTAGGCAATTAAGGTCACAGTTACAAGACCATCACCAAGCAGCTTGGTGAGAAGGTGACAACAGTTGGTGTGATTATTCGCAAATGGAAGAAACACAAAAGAACTGTCAATCTCCCTCGGCCTGGGGCTCCATGCAATAACTCACCTCGTGGAGTTGCAATGATCATGAGAACGGTGAGAAATCAGCCCAGAACTACACGGAAGGATCTTGTCAATGATCTCAAGGCAGCTGGGACCAGAGTCACCAAGAAAATAATTGGTAACACACTACGCCGTGAAGGACTGAAATCCTGCAGCGCCCGCAAGGTCCCCCTGCTCAAGAAAGCACATATACAGGCCCGTCTGAAGTTTGCCAATGAACATCTGAATGATTCAGAGGAGAACTGGGTGAAAGTGTTGTGGTCAGATGAGACCAAAATAGAGCTCTTTGGCATCAACTCAACTCGCCGTGTTTGGAGGAGGAGGAATGCTGCCTATGACCCCAAGAACACCATCCCCACCGTCAAACATGGAGGTGGAAACATGCTTTGGGGGTGTTCTTCTGCTAAGGGGACAGGACAACTTCACCGCATCAAAGGGACGATGGAGGGGGCCATGTACTGTCAAATCTTGGGTGAGAACCTCCTTCCCTCAGCCAGGGCATTGAAAATGGGTTGTGAATCGGTATTCCAGTATGACAATGACCCAAAACACACGTCCAAGGCAACAAAGGAGTGGCTCAAGAAGAAGCACATTAAGGTCCTGGAGTGGCCTAGCCAGTCTCCAGACCTTAATCCCATAGAAAATCTGTGGAGGGAGCTGAAGGTTTGAGTTGCCAAACGTCAGCCTTGAAACCTTAATGACTTGAAGAAGATCTGCAAAGAGGAGTGGGACAAAATCCCTCCTGAGATGTGTGCAAACCTGGTGGCCAACTACAAGAAACGTCTGACCTCTGTGATTGCCAACAAGGGTTTTGCCACCAAGTACTAAGTCATGTTTTGCAGAGGGGTCAAATACTTATTTCCCTCATTAAAATACAAATCAATTTATAACATTTTTGACATGCGTTTTTCTGGATTTTTTTGTTGTTACACTGTTCAAATAAACCTACCATTAAAATTATAGACTGATCATGTCTTTGTCAGTGGGCAAACTTACAAAATCAGCAGGGGATCAAATACTTTTTTCCCTCACTGTAGCCAATACCTTTTTGTTCTGAACTTCTAAAATGAGTGGGGCGGTTGTGGCTTCCTGACAGTGACCAAGTTTACATGTGCACAGTATTCCAGATAGTAGCTCATATCCAGCTTAAGGTCTTATTTGGGATAAACTGTTTACATGCACCTTTGATATCCCACTCACGAGTATCCCTGGTCCATGAATAAACAGAATTTTTCTCATTTAAGTTCATATGGGTTAAATGGAATAGTAACTGAAATATGGACACTGACTGTAGGCCTATAACCTCTCACATGTAGCTTAATATAATATTAACTCCTGCAGTATTATTCATTTCTTGCAGTAAAATGATAAAACATTTAATTTTGTCTCGGGAACAGGAGTGGAGAAAGATGATTTATTTCTTTCAGCATCTCTTGAGAAAATGTGAATGCACATGTAATGTGTTATCTTTGACACTGTTATGCAAGCAGACAGTATTTCAGAAACGTGTTTCATCGTTTTCTCAGCTTTTGATTTCCTGAAAAACAGGTCAAACTGATGACATTTGGACATTTTGCACAGGACCAATCTTTCCACTGTTTTGGAGTTATTGCGTTTTCTCCCCGGTCCCTAAACGAAACAGACAACTTTACCAATGTTAACTAGATTACTAATGCATTAATTCTACCGATGTAAGACATTATTCTGGTGAGCACAACTTTACTGTCTTCTGGGGCAACAAGTTATGACAGAAGAGAAGCTGCATGTATCTAACTATAGTTGACAAACCAAATGTCAGGAAATTATAATATGGCCTACCAAACTTGTCTAAATTAGGGGTGAAAGTAGCCAGTAGGCTATATGGTCCAGAACAGAGTACCAGCAAAATTAATTATTATGGAATTAAGGTGGATCAAACTGCACAGGTAGGCTACTTTTTGAAATGACTTGTTTGACAATCAGATGCAAACATCATCACACAACATGAAACTGAGCCTGCACAGACCGCATAAAACAACAGTAAACAGGATAAGATGTTTACATGCCACAGTATCCCGTCTAAGATCAGCATATCCCAGTTTCTCATATCCGGGTTTCTCATAACCGGGATACAAGTTTTTTTCGGGTTATTGTAAATGGGATATGATGTTTAAATGAGTCAACTAAAAATCAGAATCCTTCAGTCTCCCGAATAATAATGGGATATTGGTGTGCATGTAAACGTGGTATGATTGCAAGAGCAGCTTCTCATCAATTTGATCCAACACAGTTCCACCCCTGACACCGCCAGTCACCGCTAAAACATCCGTTATGTGGGTGTCTGCTATCGCTGGTTAATGCTTGATCTGGCTGAATTTTAAAGAGCAACTGCCCCAAAAAACAAACTTCTCATTTAGAAAACATCCTATGGTCATTGATATGTCAGAAACATGTATTCTACTGTCAAATTGACTACAAAGTCTAAATAGGATACATTTGGTCACATAGTCAGTCTCATCCAAAACTGAGTTTTGTGAGACTTGTGGTCTGACTGCATCACTAAATAAATGGTTGGGTTTGTTTCAATCCTGCCCACATGCCCATAGCTGGCAGCACACAAGTAATCATCCATTTGGAGTGCAGCTGCACAACACCCCATCATAATGCCTGTTTAACTTAGTTGTAGTCAAAATCTGGTTACCCAGAGGGCCAAGTGTGCGTTTCACTAGCCAAAATGTTTTTTTGAAATGCATCAGTGGAGGCTTCCACTGCTGAGGGGAGGACGGCTCATAATAATGGCTGGAACAGAGCGGAATAGCATCAAACACATGGAAGCCATATGTTTGATGTATTTGATACCATTCCACTTATAGTGCATTCAGAAAGTATTCAGACATTTACATTACATTTTAGTCATTTAGCAGACGCTCTTATCCAGAGCGACTTACAGGAGCAATTAGGGTTAAGTGCCTTGCTCAAGGGCACATTTACGTCATTTAGCAGACGCTCTTATCCAGAGCGACTACAAATTGGTGCATTCACCCTATAGCCAGTGGGATAACCACTTTACAATTATATATATATATATATATATTTTTTTTTTTGGGGGGGGGGGGGGGGGGGGGGAGGGGTAGAAGGATTACTTTATCCTATCCCAGGTGTTCCTTTTTCCACATTTTGTTACGTTACAGCCTTATTCTAAAATTGATTAAATTAAACATTTTCCTCATCAATCTACACACAATACCCCATAATGATAAAGCGAAAACACGTTTTTAGATTTTTCTGCAAATGTATTAAAAATAAAAAAGATACCTTATTTACATAAGTATTCAGACCTTTTGCTATGAGACTAAATTGAGCTCAGGTGCATCCTGTTTCCATTGATCATCCTTGAGATGTTTCTAGAGTGGCCAGACGGACGCCACTCCTCAGTAAAAGGCACATGAAGTCTAGTCAGGATTGAGGGAAAGATGAATGGAGCAAAGTACAGAGAGATCCTTGATAAAAACCTGCTCCAGAGTGCTCAGGACCTCAGACTGGGGCGAAGGGTCACCTTCCAACAGGACACAGCCAAGACAGCGCAGGAGTGGCTTCGGGACAAGCCTCTGAATGTCCTTGAGTGGCCCAGCCAGATCCCGGACTTGAACCCAATCGAACATCTCTGGAGAGATCTGAAAATAGCTGTGCAGCGACGCTCCCCATCCAACCTGACAGAGCTTGAGAGGATCAGCAGAGAAGTATGGGAGAAACTCCCCAAATACAGGTGTGCCAAGCTTGTAGCGTCATTCCCAAGAAGACTCAAGGCTGTAATCAATGCAAAAGGTGCTTCAACAAAGTACTGAGTAAAGGGTCTGAATACTTATGTAAATGTTATATTTCCGTTTTTTATTTTTAATAAATGTGCAAACATTTGTGCAAACCAGTTTTTGCTTTGTCATTATGGGGTATTGTGTGTAGATTGATGAGGGGAAAAAATGATTTAATCAATTTTAGAATAAGGTTGGAAAGTAACTAAATGTGGAAAAAGTCAAGGGGTCTGAATACTTTCCGAATGCACTGTATAAAACTCCACGAGCCCGTTAAGTTAAGGTGCCACCAACCTCCTGTGAATGCAATGCTGTCTCTGGCTGCGGAGTCCCCAGTCTTGAGGCTCCAAGTCGAAGTCAAGTCTCAAGTTATTTATTTTTCTATCAAGTTGAATCTCATGTCATCAAATTTGAGACTTGAGTCCAAGTCATGTGACGTTTATGCTACCTACCCTTTAATTTGTTATGTTTATGCTACCTAGCCTTTAATTTAAGCAACAGAAGAAGGCAATATGAGAGTATGAGAGAGAATGTGAAGAGTGACAGTTTAGGAACCAACTATTCGCTGTTTATTTGTTAAGAAAAATGACAGGTCACTTGTGTTCAGAGAAGTTCAAACATATTTGCTTTGATTCTTAATAAAAGCAGCAAAATGAAGATAGCAAGCATACAATAAATTAAATTGAATGACACTCAAAGTTACTGAAAAATGTCCTGAATTACAGGAAACTTCAGATGTGTAGTTTATTTATCAAGATTGAAAGTAAGTTGTAGATACGTAAGCCAAAAGTGGCATGGGAACAGAAATAGTGAAGAACGTAGCACCTTCTCTGCCCACATCCTGTTTTGTACTGTGGAGTTAGCTACGTGGTTAAGAACTCACACTTTTTACGTGACTAAACTGCCAGACATGTCCAATATAACTTATTTGATCACATGTAAATATGAAAAGCATATATGTCTTAAGTTATATACAAGCAAAATGTTTAATTGAGGAAGATCGTGCCTTTTCCTTCATATTATCTCTTAATTATCTCCCTACATCTAATGGTCACAATTTTAGAAATGCCAAGCACAATCTTTGTTTCACTGGCTGCACACACATGAACTGAGTCTTGCGTTCTTTATGACAAATAACTGCATTCTTTATTACAAAGAATTGTTACAATTATAAGGATTAATGCTGTCTTCTCAATATGATTTTGGTCAAGAACAAATTCCTCTGAAAATGGTTGTGTGAAAGTGCAACACCAAAGCAGTCCATCATGCATACAGTAGCTGTAGATAACTGAAGGCTTTTGTCAAAGGGAGAATGCTTGCTTCCTCCTAATGCTTCTCATGCCCATAATGCTCATATAGTATGTGTCTCTTCCTGAGTCCAGGTATGGTATCCATATAAGGACAACCTCCATCTCAGCAAGAAATGTTTGTATTGAACGTCACATCACACGAAGACGTACTGTAGTGTTCGTTCACAGCTCAGTTCAGGTGTCCTCCTCCTCCACTGAGTGGTTGAATCCAGGGATGAACTTCAGGATGTGTTTGCGGACGTTGGCTCTCCTGGCCTTCCTGGGGAGGGTCCCAAACAGGGAGGAGGCTCTGAAGGGGTCCCATGTGGGGGAGGGGGAGGAGAGGGAACTGCTGCTGCTGGCCAGGCTGCGGGTACGGCTGAGGCTGGCTGGGGGGGGCCCTTCCTGGGTGAAGTCTCTGGAGAAGAAGCAACTATCGTCTGGACTGGCCGCACTGCAGGGGCTCGGGGAGCTCAGGTCACCAAACACACTGGCCAGGTCACTGTCCTCTGTCATCCCACTACGGCAGCTACTGTCACTGGAGAAGCGGTGGCTGCGGTGGCCACTGTGTCCTGACAGAGACATTGGAGACATCAGGGAGTCCGTAGAGGGGTGTAGAGAACTGTCATTCAGGTTACCTGGAGATAAGAGAAGGGTAGTTCGTTGACAGTGTTGACTTATCCAACCACAGTATTCATGTGCACTGTAAAGGATGTGGTTGATTGACAGGATATATATTTTTTTTCAGGTAATTTGTCACAATGACGATCAACGAAGCTCATTAATACACCGATCAGCGATTTACTCGTCATTTTCACATCAGCTAATGAGAAAGGAAGTTCTGTGGTTTCACAGCTGGGCCAAACCCCTCACCTCGCATAAGGCATGTTTCCTTTAATGTGAGCGCTTGCAACTCCATCCTTTTCTCTCTCAGGGTTTGCTGTGTGGACAAAAACATAGAATGAAAATTAGACTTGGATGACTCTCAGGTCAACTATACAGTACTTAACATTATCTTTATAATGGTGTGTTTCCCTGTGACCCAATTCATCTACAGTAGGATTAGTGATGAAATGGTGTTGAGCATACATAGCTATACTGAACCTGTCTCAATACTGTGCTACTGTCGTTCTGTCATGTGAGCTTCTTTGTGTTGTGCTGGGTGGGGTTATGTGGTTGGCTACAGAAGAGTACACCACCCATATTTTCCACTGTAAAGTCTATTCAACTACGGTGTGTTATTGAAGCCAAACATCCGCCCTGTAAGAGAGACACACCTTGAGCAAGCTCATCTTCTTCTCCAGTTCAATCCTCTTCACCACCGTCCCACACACCGTCTCCATCCTGAGATTACACAGAGACAAAATGAGCACAAGCAGCCATCGCTCCGTATATAGTGCGCTATTTCTGACTATGTCCCATAGGGCTCTGTATAGTGCACTACTTTGACCAGGGACCATAGGGCTCTGTTCAAAAGTTGTGCACTATATGGGGAATAGGGTACCATTTGGGATGCAGCCAGACAAATCTTACAAATAATTCTGACACCTTGATACAATATCAAGGTTCATCAAAAAGTTTATGTTCAATGTTTTTCTCATTCTTCAGAGTTACAAACAGTAACCCTTTGGTTTGGGTCTCATTGCAGGTCTTACTCACTGTAATAAGTTGGTGGATTTTCGAATCAGGTCAACGATGTGCTGATGGCTTGACCCCTCAATGCTGACCCCATTGATGGTGACGATAACATCACCTATATGCATAGAGCAAGAGAGAGCGAGCATGGGAGGGAAAGAGAGAGAGAGAGAGAGAGAGAGAGAGAGAGAGGTCAGGCCTTGCCTTGTTGGCCCTTTTCTGTGTGAAAGTTACATGTATTGTAATGAGTGTAACGAGGACATCTCTCTGTGTGAGAACCATAATGCACAGCACTGAAGCCGAGGCCTAGATTCAATCAGATCAAGCGTTAACCGGCGATAGCCAACACCCGCATAGCTGATGTTTTGGCTGTGTCCGAGGTGTAACTATGTTGGAGCTGTCAAATCGGTGAGCAGCTGCTCTTGATCATTGTCACGAAGCCACACCCATCCCACTCACGTTAGAAGTTCAGAATGAGAAAGTGTAGGCTATATAGAAATAATGACGCTCAAATTGAAAATCATAAAACTATTCATTTCTGCCAGCCTAATCGAGGTGTAGATCACATCTCACATTTCAGTGTTCAAACTTGTAAACAAGGCTGCATGGGATTTCTCGCAATGCGACTCCGTGCAGCCAATGGCAATGTCCACTTTAAGTATAATGACAGGAGCCGCTTGTGGATTTGACAGCCCTAACACAGTTCCACCTCCGACACCACCAGAACAAACGTTATGCAGATGTCGACTAAAGCGGATCTGATTGAACAGAGCACTGAGTCTGGGCCACAGGTAGAGGAAGTAGGATGTGGGTGTCTCACCAGCGGTAAGGCCTGCACTCTCAGCTGAGCTGTCCTCCTGCACCTTGCACACAAATGTGCACATCTCCACCGCCATGCTTTTCTTCAGCAGCATGCCATACGTCTAGATCAGGAGGAATCATACTTCGGTCACTAGGCAGGACTGATAGCCAGGTTAAACATTTCTTGAAAATGTATTTTGTATTCATTCTAAAACTGATTCAATGTCTTACCTGAATTTCAAATCCAAACGTCTCATTGTCTTGCTTTTGCAACATAATGGTAGTCCTATGTGCAGGAGAAATTCAGTTACACACTTGTCATAACTTGAGTCGTTAAACATAATTGTGTTTGTATCTTAGTATTAATAGTGTACTATACAAATGACAAAGGGCTTGTATTTACCTCTGAGGATCAGTGTAATCCACTAAGGAGTTTGAGCGGGCTCTGTTGGACTGGAAAGTCAAATGTATATTTAATACATTTTCATATATTTTATAAATACAACAGTGAAAATAACTATTCTGATTATATATTTATTTAATTTCATGCAAAATAGACTAGATTTAGACCAGTCTCTTCAAATTCTTGGTATATAATGTGACAATATATTTGTAATTTATCTTAAACATAAACAATTAAACAAACTGTGTTTCCAGGTACTTTTTTTCTGATAATGAACTAGTTTGTCTCTTATGTAAAACAAAAACCTTACAATTGTCAAAAAGCTTTTTGTCTTTGCAAGTGCTCCGTTTTGTTTTGGAACATGTTAATATATACCTCTCTGATGCCACTGAAACAGTTTTATATACTATCCACGAACATCAATGACCTCTAAGAATAACAAACTCTGTGCAACTTATAGGTTACATGACTGAAATGATACACAGTAAAACTGTTCAATCTTTTCCTGTTTCTTTCCAAGGTTTCTCACTCACCTGTTTCCAGCCTCTTGGCAGAGTCCCAGGAGTAGTCCCCCCATTCTGACTGGTTTTGTTATGGTGTTCCTTCAGAGAGCGCTGATACCATAGACGACCCTTCTTCCTCAGAGAGCCCTCCATCATGTAACTGTCCTGGCTGCCCTGTCGCAGGAGCCCGTTAAAGTTCATGGTGGATTGCATGGTGGAGTGGAGCGCTCTCTCTTCACAGCACCATAGTGCAGCTCTGCTACAGCTAGTTAAGTACAGTAACTCTGCATGTGTTGTATGTGGTGTGTCCCTGCCCTGCTGCTGAAAGTAAATGTGTCAAAGCGGAAATCCACACCATGTGATTATGGTGAACCTGTGTTAGCCAATCACAGCCCTCGCTCGCTCACTTTCTTCTCTACTTCACCCCTTTTAGCATTTTTTTCTTATTTTTCTTGTGAACGGTCTGTCTGCTGTGCTGCAGCCGGGAAAAGGAATCTGCTTACGTTTTTTTCTTTTCAAACATCCCCCTTTTCTTTGTTCAGTCTGTGCGATTCGATTTATGGTCTGTCAGAAATCAGCAATGCATGGACAAACTGCCACCTCTGTGGTCTAACCTACCATCACCTGCTTCCCCTTACTCCAGTTTCTGTTTTCTGAATAGGTTGGAGTCAACCTGAGCCTCTCTGGTCTGCCAAGCAAAGAGGCTTGTCTTGTGAGGACAGACAAAAGCAGGCTTTCGCTCGGGGCTAGAGACTTGCTTTACAACAACACAGCATGGGTCAATGGCTAGAAGGCACCAGACATGGTTTGATCAAAGAGGAAATCACACACAGGCCAACGGTCAAGAATAAAAACAAAGTCTGATGTGTTGAAGAAGACGGTCTCACAGGACATAAAAAATATAAAATTGTTCTATTGTTCTTTGATAGTGAAGTCTTTTTTCCTCATTCATTTTCCAAGATAAAGAACAATATGTATTGGATGATTATACAGTACAAATACCCCAAACTGTATGATGTGTTTGGGATACAAAACAAATGAATTGTCAAATAGAAACATCAGAATGTCCCACACCTAAAGCCAGTCTTTGTGACGCTGTCCCAAATTGCACTGTATTCCCTATATAGTGCACCACTTTTGACCAGAGCCCTATAGGTTGCCATTTGGGACGAGCCCTCACGAAACAGAACAGTGGACGGCAGTGTTGCCTCACTCTAATCCCCTCTGGCCCATTGAACCTGTGTGACCCATAGCAGTGCCAGCTACCAAGCTTCCACGGGACTGTCAGGCCAGTAAATTTCCCCTCCATGGTAACACTGTGTACAGACAAGGAATGCATCCCAAATGGCACCCTATTCGCTATACAATGCATTCGGAAAGTATTCAGACCCCTTGACTTTTTCCACTTTGTTACGTTACAGCCTTATTCTAAAATGGATTCAATAAAACATTTTATTCATCAATCTACAGACAAGACCCCATAATGACAAAGCAAAAACTGGTTTTTAGAAATTTTAGCAAATGTATACCAATAAACCTCAGGAAATATCACATTTACGTAAGTATTCAGACCCTTTACTCAGTACTTTGTTGAAGCACCTTTGGCAGCGCTTACAGCCTCGAGTCTTCTTGGGTATGACACTACAAGCTTGGCACACCTGTATTTGCAGAGTTTCTCCCATTCTTCTCTGCAGATCCTCTCAAGCTCTGTCAGGTTGGATGGGGAGTGTCGCTGCACAGCTATTGTCAGGTCTCTCCAGAGATGTTCGATCGGGTTCAAGTCCGGGCTCTGGCTGGGCCACTCAAGGACATTCAGAGACTTGGCCTGAAGCCACTCCTGCGTTGTCTTGGCTGTGTGCTTAGGGTCGTTGTCCTGTTGGAAGGTGAACCGTCGCCCCCAGTCTGAGTTCCTGAGAGCTCTGGAGCAGGTTTTCATCAAGGATCTCTCTGTACTTTGCTCCGTTCATCTTTCCCTCGATCCTGACTAGTCTCCCAGTCCCTGCCACTGAAAAACATCCCCACAGCATGATGCTGCCACCACCATGCACCGTAGTGATGGTGCCAGGTTTCCTCCAGACGTGACGCTTGGCATTCAGGCCAAAGAGTTCAATCTTGGTTTCATCAAACCATTGAAACTTGTTTCTCATGGTCTGAGAGTCCTTCAGGCAAACTCCAAGCGGGCTGTCATGTGCCTTTTACTGAGGAGTGGCTTCCGTCTGGCCACTCTACCATAAAGGCCTGATTGGTGGAGTGCTGCAGAGATGGTTGTCCTTCTGGAAGGTTCTCCCATCTCCACAGAGGAACTCTGGAGCTCTGTCAGAGTGACCATCGGGTTCTTGGTCACCTCCCTGACCAAGGCCCTTCTCCCCCGATTGCTCAGTTTGGCCGGGCGGCCAGCTCTAGGAAGAGTCTTGGTGGTTCCAAACTACTTCCATTTAAGAATGATGGAAGCCACTGTGTTCTTGGAGACCTTCAATGCTGCAGAAATGTTTTGATACCCTTCCCCAGATCTGTGCCTCAACACAATCCTGTCTAGGAGCTCTACGGAAAATGGCTTGGTTTTTGCTCTGACGTGCACTGTCAACTATGGGACCTTATATAGACATGTGTGTGCCTTTCCAAATCATGTCCAATCAATTACATTTACCACAGGTGGACCCCAATCAAGAAGTAGAAACATCAAGGATGATCAATGGAAACAGGATGCACCTGAGCTAACTTTCAAGTCTCATAGCAAAGGGTCTGAATATTTATGTAAATGAGGTATTTCCGTTTTTTATTTTTAATAAATGTGCAAAAAAATCTATAAGCCTGTTTTTGCTTTCTCATTATGGGGTATTGTGTGTAGATTGATGAGGGAAAACATTTATTTAACCCATTTTAGAATAAGGCTGTAACGTAACAAAATGTGGAAAAAGTCAAGGGGTCTGAATACTTTCCGAATGCACTTGAGGGCTCTGGTCAAAAGTTGTGCAATATGTAGGGAATAGGGTGCCATTTGGAACGCATACCATTAGTGTCTCAACTAGAAATGTATTACTGATGGTTGTCACGCTTAACATATTGCAATATTTCATCATCAAGACAAATGTGTTAAACAGACTGAAAAAGTCTCAACATATCTTCACTAAAGTTTCAAATATTATATTGTGCTGATCAGCTTTAAGTAGCTGGGATATTAATTGACCAATTGTGTGAATGTAGGAAGTTTACAGTCAGTTGTTCAGATAGGCCTTGCCTAGTAGGAGATTCACTGATGAGAGAGCAGGGGAGTTTGCAAAGTATGTGTACTGTAAGTGGTTTTATGGCAGTTTTCACTCAACTCTGCAGAACATACAAATCAAATTAGTTTGAGGCCTTGAATACTTCTACGTCACCATTGAGAAAAACCAAGCCTGGGTTCTGAAATGTGTCTCACAAAGCCACATCTGTGAAGTTATGATTGCCCAAGTTCGATTAAACCTAAGCACAGCACATTCAGGAGTGGCTGACTCATCTGAGTAGTGCTGCTAACAGCCAAGATGATAAGGCTTACTTCCTCCGTTTAACTGTTGTAGTTGTCAAGTTAGCTTTCATGTCTTCTGAACCACAGTACAATTATGAATCATTGCAGAGGATAAATGGATGACATACATGGTCATTTCAGGTAAACGACCGAAAATGAGAGGGAAATGCTCTCATTCAGGAAGTTCAAATCATAATCTGTCATGGGGAATTACATTTGACCAAAAAAATGATGAGATATTAAAGTACTCAGAATAATTACATTTTCAATGAAAAGTAGTTTATTGACTCTCTGTTGTCACATATTCATAATAAATAGAGTAAGACAAAGACAATGTGATGACATATTGACATAAGAGACCCATATCTGAATTCACAACACAAAATAGTTACTCTTGTCAACAGAAAGAATGACGCTAATTCATTGGAGGATGACATTTCAACGTCAAACCTTTATAAACTAATACCACATTCCCAGAGCAGGCAAAACTTCCAAATTGTGTCATACACAATCTTCAAAAGATATTTGACCAGAAATTGCAGAATTAGTCTCTTTTCTTTGGAATGACTGCTGGTCTTATAGAAGCAAAACAATTCCACACATCATCTTGAGCAGTTGTCAAACATTGATCAGACTGTTGAGTTCCTCAGAGAAACTGACTCGACTGTAGGCCTTGACACAACAAAAGCACAGCTGAATTTCCAATTAGATCATTAACATTAGCTTGCTTGTCCACAGGATACAGGCAGAGCACTAAATTCTGCAATATATATTTCGTTACAATATTTTTGAAATAATTACATATTAAGTGAAACAATCATTGTTTTTACATACAAAACATAATTGTAACATTGACTTAATGATACAGCTATATGGGCAGCAGAGCAGCGAGCCGGTCATTATGTACACCCATGAAACAACTGCAGATGCTACATTGACCATGCTTAGTAGGTTTACTGTACTGCCCCCCCCAAAATGACACCACAGACAATACATTGGCAAATTTGCAAACATAAGCACATTGGCAAAATGTCTGTGTGATATACACGTCGTATACCTCTGCTTGAACTTGCTGCAGGCCTACACAAACAGAGCACCAGGCCTGCCATGTCGTGTACAGGAGACACCCACACCAGATTTAGCGGCTGATTTTGTACGTTTAACCACTGACAAAGAAATGATGAGTCTATAATTTTAATGGTAGGTTTATTTGAACAGTGAGAGACAGAATAACAACAAAAAAATCCAGAAAAACGCATGTCAAAAATGTTATAAATTGATGTGCATTTTATTGAGGGAAATAAGTATTTGACCCCCTCTCAATCAGAAAGATTTCTGGCTCCCAGGTGTCTTTTATACAGGTAACGAGCTGAGATTAGGAGCACACTCTTAAAGGGAGTGCTCCTAATCTCAGTTTGTTACCTGTATAAAAGACACCTGTCCACAGAAGCAATCAATCAGATTCCAAACTCTCCACCATGGCCAAGACCAAAGAGCTCTCCAAGGATGTCAGGGACAAGATTGTAGACCTACACAAGGCTGGAATGGGCTACAAGACCATTGCCAAGCAGCTTGGTGAGAAGGTGACAACACAAAATAACCGTCAATCTCCCTCGGCCTGGGGCTCCATGCAAGATCTCACCTTGTGGAGTTGCAATGATCATGAGAACGGTGAGGAATCAGCCCAGAACTACACAGGAGGATCTTGTCAATGATCTCAAGGCAGCTGGGACCATAGTCACCAAGAAAACAATTGGTAACACACTACGCCGTGAAGGACTGAAATCCTGCAGCGCCCGCAAGGTCCCCCTGCACAAGAAACCACATTTACATTTTAGTCATTTAGCAGACGCTCTTATCCAGAGCGACTTACAAATTGGTGCATTCACCTTATGATAGCCAGTGGGACAACCACTTTACAATATGTTTTTTTTTTTTATCTTTGGGGTGGGGTAATGGGGGGAGAAGGATTACTTTATCCTATCCCAGGTATTCCTTAAAGAGGTGGGGTTTCAAGTGTCTCCGGAAGGTGGTGAGTGACTCCGCTGTCCTGGCGTCGTGAGGGAGCTTGTTCCACCATTGGGGTGCCAGAGCAGCGAACAGTTTTGACTGGGCTGAGCGAGAACAGTGCTTCCGCAGAGGTAGGGGGGCCAGCAGGCCAGAGGTGGATGAACGCAATGCCCTCGTTTGGGTGTAGGGACTGATCAGAGCCTGAAGGTACGGAGGTGCCATTCCCCTCACAGCTCCGTAGCCAAGCACCATGGTCTTGTAGCAGATGTGAGCTTCAACTGGAAGCCAGTGGAGTGTGCGGAGGAGCGGGGTGACGTGAGAGAACTTGGGAAGGTTGAACACCAGACGGTCTGCGGCGTTCTGGATGAGTTGTAGGGGTTTAATGGCACAGGCAGGGAGCCCAGCCAACAGCGAGTTGCAGTAATCCAGACGGGAGATGACAAGTGCCTGGATTAGGACCTGTGCCGCTTCCTGTGTAAGGCAGGGTCGTACTCTGCAAATGTTGTAGAGCATGAACCTACAGGATCGGGTCACCGCCTTGATGTTAGCGGAGAACGAAAGGGTGTTGTCAACATATACAGGCCCGTCTGAAGTTTGCCAATGAACATCTGAATGATTCAGAGGAGAACTGGGTGAAAGTGTTGTGGTCAGATGAGACCAAAATCGAGCTCTTTGGCATCAACTCAACTCGCCATGTTTGGAGGAGGAGGAATGCTGCCTATGACCCCAAGAACACCATCCCCACCGTCAAACATGGAGGTGGAAACATTATGCTTTGGGGGTGTTTTTCTGCTAAGGGGACAGGACAACTTCACCGCATCAAAAGGGACGATGGACGGGGCCATGTACTGTCAAATCTTGGGTGAGAACCTCCTTCCCTCAGCCAGGGCATTGAAAATGGGTCGTGGATGGGTATTCCAGCATGACAATGACCCAAAACACACGGCCAAGGCAACAAAGGAGTGGCTCAAGAAGAAGCACATTAAGGTCCTGGAGTGGCCTAGCCAGTCTCCAGACCTTAATCCCATAGAAAATCTGTGGAGGGAGATGAAGGTTCGAGTTGCCAAACGTCAGCCTCGAAACCTTAATGACTTGGAGAAGATCTGCAAAGAGGAGTGGAACAAAATCCCTCCTGAGATGTGTGCAAACCTGGTGGCCAACTACAAGAAACGTCTGACCTCTGTGATTGCCAACAAGGGTTTTGCCACCAAGTACTAAGTCATGTTTTGCAGAGGGGTCAAATACTTATTTCCCTCATTAAAATGCAAATCAATTTATAACATTTTTGACATGCGTTTTTCTCGATTTTTTTGTTGTTATTCTGTCTCTCACTGTTCAAATAAACCTACCATTAAAATTATAGACTGATCATGTCTTTGTCAGTGGGCAAACGTACAAAATCAGCAATGGATCAAATACTTTTTTTCCCTCACTGTATATATCAATATATTTTAAATGTTTTTTACTAATACTTCTCTCTTCTGTAATATAACAAAAGTTGTGCTTCTCAGAGAAGATGCGATTGTTAGGGAAAATATAGTGTGTGGATGTATTTAAAGGGGCAATCTGCAATAGCTACATCAGTTTGACTTTAATTACATTAATGATATACAGTTGAAGTCGGAAATTTTACATACACCTTAGCCAAATACATTTAAACTCTGTTTTTCACAATTCCTGACATTTAATCCTAGTAAAAATTCCCTGTTTTACGTCAGTTAGGATCACCACTTTATTTTAAGAATGTGAAATGTCAGAATAATAGTAGAGAGAATGATTTATTTCAGCATTTTTTCGTTAATCACATTCCCAGTGGGTCAGAAGTTTACATACACTCATTTAGTATTTGGTAGCATTGCCTTTAAATTGTTTAACTTGGGTCAAACGTTTCGGGTAGCCTTCCACAAGCTTCCCACAATAAGTTGGGTGAATTTTGGCCCATTCCTCTTGACAGAGCTGGTGTAACTGAGACAGGTTTTTAATCCTCCTTGCTCGCACACGCTTTTTCAGTTCTGCCCACAACTTTTATATAGGATTGCGGTCAGGGCTTTGTGATGGCCACTCCAATACCTTGACTTTGTTGTCCTTAAGCCATTTTGCCACAACTTTGGAAGTATGCTTGTGGTCATTGTCCATTTGGAAGACCCATTTGCGACCAAGCTTTAACTTCCTGACTGATGTCTTGAGATGTTGCTTCAATATGTCCACATAATTTTCCTTCCTCATGATGCCATCTATTTTGTGAAGTGCACCAGTCCCTCCTGCAGCAAAGCACCCCCACAGCATGATGCTGCCACCCCCATGCTTCACGGTTGGGATGGTGTTCTTCAGCTTGCAAGCCTTCCCCTTTTTCCTCCAAACATAACGATGGTCATTATGGCCAAACAGTTCTATTTTTGTTTCATCAGACCAGAGCACATTTCTCCAAAAAGTACGATCTTTGTCCCCATGTGCAGTTGCAAACCGTAGTCTGGCTTTTTTATGGCGGTTTTGGAGTAGTGGCTTCTTCCTTGCTGAGCGGCCTTTCAGGTTATGTCGATATAGGACTCGTTTTACTGTGGATATAGATACTTTTGTACCCGTTTCCTCCAGCATCTTCACAAGGTCCTTTGCTGTTGTTCTGGAATTGATTTGCACTTTTCGCACCAAAGTACGTTCATCTCTAGGAGACAGAACGCGTTTCCTTCCTGAGTGGTATGACGGCTGCGTGGTCCCATGGTGTTTATACTTGCGTACTGTTGTTTGTACAGATGAACGTGGTACCTTCAGGCATTTGGAAAATGCTCCCAAGGATGAACCAGACTTGTGGAGGTCTACAATTTTTTGGCTGATTTCTTTTGATTTTCCCATGATGTCAAGCAAAGAGGCACTGAGTTTGAATGTAGGCCTTGAAATACATCCACAGGTACACCTCCAATTGACTCAAATTATGTCAATTAGCCTATCAGAAGCTTCTAAAGCTATGACATCACTTTCTGGAATTTTTCAAGCTGTTTAAAGGCGCAGTCAACTTAGTGTATGTAAACTTCTGACCCACTGGAATTGTGATACAGTGAATTATAAGTGAAATAATCTGTCTGTAAACAATTGTTGGAAAAATTACTTGTGTCATGCACAAAGTAGATGTCCTATCCGACTTGCCAAAACTATAGTTTGTTAACAAGAAATTTGTGGAGTGGTTGAAAAACGAGTTTTAATGACTCCAACCTAAGTGTATGTAAACTTCCGACTTCAACTGTATACACCCATTGATTCTTAAAGAATATAACTTATAAATGCCTCATGAGTTTAGTAAAACTGTCGTAGCACATCAGAACCCAAAATATAAGCTTGTTTTAATCCATTGTTTGTATAGCCTCAAAACATGGTTAAAACCAAAGAGATCCTATTAAATTACTATTATTATTAAAACTATTAGTATTCTAATTCCTAATTATATGGTTAATACTATAATCTTACTATCATGGATGGTCAGTCCTTGCATCCATAGCTCTGTCTATGAATTTGAGAGTAGTTACATTTCTCCAGCCCCATCCCTCAGCTGTTTACCAAAATAGCGGTGGGGTGTCCACTTTGTCATTGATATTGTTTGAAATGCAGATTGCCCCTTTAACAATAATATATTATATTAACATATTATTATTATATATATATATATATATATCAAAAATATATATGGATGAGAAATAGAATAGGGTGGGGAGGGGGAAGCACCCAAGTAACAGCTATCTTTATTGATGTAGACCATGGGTGTCCTTTACTATCAGGCATAGCAGTGAGTGCATTACTCAGTAACATTTACAGTCATTTTGCATGTTGCCTAGCACTACATACATTATTATATGGCATGAAGCATTCAATGTGCAACTTCAAGCTTTGGGCACTTAAAAACATCTGAGGTAGCAGAGGAAAATCGGTACATTGTAAATCATCCTAAAAGGTCACAGTTTCATTTCCTGTTCCTTCTGGATTGGTTGATCCAGTTCCAGTCACACAGTGTTCCCTGCTGGATAGCAACAGTAGGCTCCTTTGGCATCACAAGCTGAGAATGCACACTGCTGGGTCATATTCATTAGTGCACAACATAGCAAACGTTTTACAATGAAAATTAGAGTTTCTTATTTTACAAATTCAGGTAGACTCCTCCCTGCTTCGGCCTGTTTTATTCTGTTTGGTTTCTAATGAATTACCACCCAGTTGAGGGTTTCAGTGTGGTCCTGAGCATGCTTTTCTCCCGACCAATAACAGTACATTGGGGGATGCGCCAGCCAGTGGGCTAGCTTACCTAGCTAATCTTTGATGTCCTTGAGTACAGTCACCTGAGAGACGGTTTTCTTGACCCTCAATGCGGTGAGGCGAGCTGCAGCATTGGCGTACCAGCACTCACGCATCAGCTTGCCTATCACCCGCAGAGCCTGACGAAGGAGGGGTTTTTATCAAATCAACAGGCCCAGATTTTACATGGTCAGACCAGGTTTTTAATGGTAATTTAGCATAGGCTCTTATCCAGAGCAACTTACAGTAAGTGCATTCAACTAAGGTACAATGCCTTCAGAAAGTATTCATACCCCTTGACTTATTCCACATTTTGTTGTGTTACAGCCTGAATTCAAAATTGATTAAAAATAATAATCTCATCCATCTACACACAACACCCCATAATGACAAAGTGAAAACATGATTTTAGAAATGTTTGCAAATATATAGAAAATAAAATACATAAATATCTCATTTACGTAAGTAGTCACACCCCTGAGTCAATACTTTGTAGAAGCACCTTTAGCAGCGATTGAGTCTTTCTGGGTAAGTCTCTAAGAGCTTTCCACACCTGGATTGTGCAACATTTGCCCATTATTATTTTCATAATTCTTCAAGCGCTGTCAAATTGGTTGTTGATCATTGCCAGACAAACAATTTCAGGTCTTGCCATAGATTTTTAACTAGATTTAAGTCAAAACTGTAACTTGGCCACTCAGTAACATTCACTATCTTCTTGGTAAGCAACTCCAGTGTAGGTTTGCCCTTGTGTTTTAGGTTATTGTCCTGCTGAAAGGTAAATTCATCTCCCACTGTCTGGTGCAAATCAAATGTTATTGGTCACATACACATATTTAGCAGATGCTCCAACAGTGCAGTAATATCTAACAATTCACAACAATACATACACATCTAAAAAGTAAAATAATGGAATTAAGAAATATTTAAATAAATATTATGAAGAGCAATGTCGGAGTGGCATAGACTAAAATACAGTAGAATATAATACAGTATATACACATACAGTGGGGGAAAAAAGTATTTAGTCAGCCACCAATTGTGCAAGTTCTCCCACTTAAAAAGATGAGAGAGGCCTGTCATTTTCATCATAGGTACACGTCAACTATGACAGACAAATTGAGGAGAAAAAAATCCAGAAAATCACATTGTAGGATTTTTTATGAATTTATTTGCAAATTATGGTGGAAAATAAGTATTTGGTCACCTACAAACAAGCAAGATTTGTGGCTCTCACAGACCTGTAACTTCTTCTTTAAGAGGCTCCTCTGTCCTCCACTCGTTACCTGTATTAATGGCACCTGTTTGAACTTGTTATCAGTATAAAAGACACCTGTCCACAACCTCACACCTCCAAACTCCACTATGGCCAAGACCAAAGAGCTGTCAAAGGACACCAGAAACAAAATTGTAGACCTGCACCAGGCTGGGAAGATTGAATCTGCAATAGGTAAGCAGCTTGGTTTGAAGAAATCAACTGTGGGATCAATTATTAGGAAATGGAAGACATACAAGACCACTGATAATCTCCCTCGATCTGGGGCTCCACGCAAGATCTCACCCCGTGGGGTCAAAATGATCACAAGAACGGTGAGCAAAAATCCCAGAACCACACGGGGGGACCTAGTGAATGACCTGCAGAGAGCTGGGACCAAAGTAACAAAGCCTACCATCAGTAACACACTACGCCGCCAGGGACTCAAATCCTGCAGTGCCAGACGTGTCCCCCTGCTTAAGCCAGTACATGTCCAGGCCCGTCTGAAGTTTGCTAGAGTGCATTTGGATGATCCAGAAGAGGATTGGGAGAATGTCATATGGTCAGATGAAACCAAAATAGAACCTTTTGGTAAAAACTCAACTCGTCGTGTTTGGAGGACAAAGAATGCTGAGTTGCATCCAAAGAACACCATACCTACTGTGAAGCATGGGGGTGGAAACATCATGCTTTGGGGCTGTTTTTCTGCAAAGGGACCAGGACGACTGATCCGTGTAAAGGAAAGAATGAATGGGGCCATGTATCGTGAGATTTTGAGTGAAAACCTCCTTCCATCAGCAAGGGCATTGAAGATGAAACGTGGCTGGGTCTTTCAGCATGACAATGATCCCAAACACACCGCCTGGGCAACGAAGGAGTGGCTTCATAAGAAGCATTTCAAGGTCCTGGAGTGGCCTAGCCAGTCTCCAGATCTCAACCCCATAGAAAATCTTTGGAGGGAGTTGAAAGTCCGTGTTGCCCAGCGACAGCCCCAAAACATCACTGCTCTAGAGGAGATTTGCATGGAGGAATGGGCCAAAATACCAGCAACAATGTGTGAAAACCTTGTGAAGACTTACAGAAAACATTTGACCTGTGTCATTGCCAACAAAGGGTATATAACAAAGTATTGAGAAACTTTTGTTATTAACTTATTTTCCACCATAATTTGCTAATAAATTCATTACAAATCCTACAATGTGATTTTCAGGATTTTTTCTAATTTTGTCTGTCATAGTTGACGTGTACCTATGATGAAAATTACAGGCCTCTCTCATCTTTTTAAGTGGGAGAACTTGCACAATTGGTGGCTGACTAAATACTTTTTTCCCCCACTGTATGAGATGAGTAAAGCAAAAATATGTAAACATTATTAAAGTGGCCAGTGATTTCAAGTCTATGTATATAGGGCAGCAGCCTCTAAGGTGCAGGGTTATGTAACCGGGTGGAAGCTGCCTAGTGATGGCTATTTAACAGTGATGGCCTTGATATAGAATCTGTCTTTCCAGTCTCTCGGTCCCAGCTTTGATGCACCTGTACTGACCTCGCCTTCTGGATGATAGCGGGGTGAACAGGCAGTGACTCGGGTGGTTGTTGTCCTTGATTATCTTTTTGGCCTTCCTGTGACATCGGGTGCTGTAGGTGTCCTGGAGGGCAGGTAGTTTGCCGCCGATGATGCGTTGGGCAGACCGCACCACCCTCTGGAGAGCCCTGCGGTTACAGGTGGTGCAGTTGCCGTACCAGGCGGTGATACAGCCCAACAGGATGCTCTCAATTGTGCATCTGTAAAAGTTTGTGAAGGTTTTAGGTGCCAAGCCAAATTTCTTCAGCCTCCTGAGGTTGAAGAGGCTCTGTTGCGCCTTCCTCACCACACTGTCTGTGTGGGTGGACCATTTCAGATCGTCAGTGATGTGTACGCCGAGGAACTTGAAGCTTTCGACCTTCTCCACTGCGGTCCTGTCAATGTGAGAACACACCCTTCTGGGGCCCCTGTGTTGAGGATCAGCGAAGTGGAGGTGTTGTTTCCTACCTTCACCACCTGGGGGCGGCCCGTCAGGAAGTCCAGGACCCAGTTGCACAGGGCGGGGTTCAGACCCAGGGCCCCAAGCTTAATGATGAACTTGGAGGGTTCATTCCAGATGGAATAGGGCAGTGTTCAGTGTGATGGCGATTGCATCGTCTGTGGATCTATTGGGGCGGTAAGCAAATTGAAGTGGGTCTAGGGTGTCAGGTAAGGTAGAGGTGATATGATCCTTAACAAGCCTCTCAAAGTACTTCATGATGACAGAAGTGAGTGCTACGGGGCGATAGTCATGTAGTTCAGTTACCTTTGCTTTCTTGGGAATAGGAACAATGGTAGACATCTTGAAGCAAGTGGCGCCGACAGATAGGGCACCTCTGCTTCTAGCTCCTACGCAACTTTGCAGCATTTTTTTTGTGTCATTTCTTACATTATTAGCCCAGGCATTTTGTGTTATTACATAGAGCCGGAAATAACTTTTGGATATCAGACCGGCGGTAACTCACCAGCATTACGACCAGGAATACAACTTTCCCGAATTGGATCCTTTGTTCGTACCCCCCAGGGCAATTGAACTGATTCCAGAGGCTGATCCAAAACACCGCCGGCGGAGAAGAGGTAGCCGGAGTGGACTTCTAGTTACTCGCTAATGTTCAGTCTCTGGATAATAAAGTAGACGAGCTCAGGGCGAGAATCTCCTTCCAGAAAGACATCAGAGATTGTAACATACTCTGTTTCACGGAAACATGGCTCTCTCTGAATATATTTTCTTCGTCCATTCAGCCAGCTGGGCTCAGTACATCACGCAGCCAGGAATAAAGAACTCTCCGGGAAGAAGAAAGGCGTTTCATGATTAACTACTCATGGTGTGATTGTGATAACATACAGAAACTCAAGTCCTTTTGTTCACCTGACCTAGAATACCTCACAATCAAATGCCGACCATATTACCTCCCAAGAGAATTCTCTTTGGTTATAGTCACAGCAGTGTATATTCCCCCTCAAGCAGATACCACGACGGCCCTAAAAGAACTACACTGTACTTTATGCAAACTGTAAACCACATATCCTGAGGCCGCATTTATTGTAACTGGGGATTTTAACAAAGCAAATTTGAGGAAAACGCTACCGAAGTTCTATCAACACATTGACTGTAGCACTCGCTCTGAGAAAACGTTAGACCACTGCTAGTCAGCTTTTTTCGAAATCCCTACAAGGCCCTCCCCCGCCCTCCCTTCGGCAAATCTGATCACGACTCCATTTTGATCCTCCCTTCCTATAGGCAGAAACTCACAGGAAGTACCCGTGCTAAGTACTATTCAACGCTGGTCTGACCAATCTGAATCCATGTTTCAAGACTGTTTTGATCACGCGGACTGGGATATGTTCCGAGTAGCCTCTGAGAATAACATTGACGAATATGCGTATACGGTGACTGAGTTCATCAGGAAGTGTATAGGAGATGTTGTACCCACTGTGACTATTAAAACCTACCCAAACCAGAAACCATGGATAGATGGCAGCATTCGCACAAAACTGAAAGCGCGAACCACCGCATTTAACCATGGCAAATGGGAATATGGCCGAATACAAACAGTGTAGTTATTCCCTCCGTAAGGCAATCAAACAGGCAAAACGTCAGTAGAGACACAAAGTGGAGTCGCAACTCAACTGCTCTGACACGAGACGTATGTGGCAGGGTCTACAGACAATCACGGACTACAAAAGGAAAACCAGCCACGTGGCGGACACCGACGTCTTGCTTCCGGACAAGCTAAACACCTTCGTCCACTTTGAGGATAACACAGTGCCACCAACGCGGCCCGCTACCAAGGACTGTGGGCTCTCCTTCTCCGTGGCCGATGTGAGTAAGACATTTAAGCGTGTTAACCCTCGCAAGGCTACTGGCCCAGACGGCATCCCTAGCTGTGTCCTCAGAGCATGCGCAGACCAGCTGGCTGGAGTGTTTATGGACATATTCAATCTCTCCCTATTCCAATCTGTTGTCCCCACTTGCTTCAAGATGTCCACCATTGATTTACGGAAATCCTCTAGGATTTTGCCTGTGCTTAGCTCCATTCCGTTTATTTTTTATCCTTAAAAACTCCCAAAGTCCTTAATGATTACAAGCATACCCATAACATGATGCAGCCACCACTATGATTGAAAATATGGAGTGGTACTCAGTAATGTGTTGTATTGGATTTGCCCCAAACATAACACTTTGTATTCAGGACAAGAAGTTAATTGCTTTGCCACATTTTTTGTAGTATTACTTTTAGTGCCTTGTTGCAAACAGGATGCATGTTTTGGAATATTTATATTCTGTATAGGTTTCCTTCTTTTCACTCTGTCAATTAGGTTAGTATTGTGGACTAACTACAATGTTGTTGATCCATACTCAGTTTTCTCCTATCACAGTCATTAAAGTATTTAACTGTTTTAAAGTCACCATTGGCCTCATGGTGAAATCCCTGAACGGTTTCCTTCCTCTCCGCCTGTATCTTTGTAGTGACTGGGTGTATTGATACACCATCCAAAGTGTAATTAATACATTCACCATGCTCAAAGGGATATTCTTTGTCTGCTTTTTAAAATGTTTACCAATCTACCAATAGGTGCCTTTCTTTGCAAGGCATTGGAAAACCACCCTGGTCTTTGTGGTTGTATCTGTGTTTAAATTCACTGCTCGACTGAAGGACCTTACAGATAATTGTATGTGTGGGGTGCAGAGATGAGGTAGTCATTCAAAAATCATGTTAAACAGTGAGTCGATGCAACTTATTATATGACTTGTTAAGCAAATGTTTACTCCTGAACTTATTTAGGCTTGCCATTACAAAGGGGTTGAATACTTATTGACTCAAGATATTTCAGCTTTTCATTTGTAAAGATTTCGAAAAAACATAATTCCATTTTGACATTATGGGGTATTGTGTGTAGGCCAGTGACAAAAAAACCTCAATTAAATCCTTTTTAAATTCAGGCTGTAACAACAAAATGTGGCTGTAACAACAAAATGTGGAAAAGGTCAAGGGGTGTGAATACTTTCTGACTGCACTGTAGGTAACACAACCCTATATCACAGTCATCGCAAGTAAAAACCTATATAAAAACAGCAGCTCAATTTACAGAGGTACAATTCAAAATGCTAACCAAGCCACAATACAGTATACTGTATTTACCCTATGGCCCTGTAGTTTTTAAAGCAAAAAAATTATAAAATATCCCAGTCTAGGGTTGCAAAATTCTGGTAACTTTCACAAAATTCCCAGGCTTCCCGGTTGGAGGATTCACAGATTTACTGCTGATTACAGGAATCTTCCAACTGGGATTTCTGGAAAACCTGGACATTTTGGGAAAATTACCACAATTCAGCAACCTTATTACAGTCAGAATCTTATCTCACCTCGCAGCTCTGCCACTGGTTGGGAATGTTGGGTCTCAGTTTCTGGTCACAGACGATCTTTCTCATGTCCTCCACAGAGGGATCTGAAGGTACCGTATCATAGTAAGGCAACTGGAAATCTTCTTGAAGTCCTGTGGAAAAAAAAGACATTTTTTTTTTGATCAGTGCCCTGGCACAAATGTACCTCCCTTCATCAGTTCCATGGCAATATTAAACATTTTGTTTATTCATTATCAGTGGTAATATAATCATTCTTGAAAAATGTCCCAAACAGTGAAAATCATGTTTTTCATCCAATTTGATGATATTTGGATGAAACCAGTTCATAGTAGGTTGATCCAAGTATTGAAAATTACAGTAGCTGGTACATTGACAAAGTTCATAATAAAGTTACTGGTCCCCTCCCTCCCACCAATGTCAAACACTTGGATTCAGGAGGCAGTCATTACTTCTGGCATTATGCAACGTCACATAACGCTGGACATTATATACACCAATGGTGTAGTGTCAAATATTTTTATAACTAAACCAAGATAGACCACAGCCCGTCGTTTCAAATGGGAACAAATGAGTCACAGTGGGCAGAACAAGCAAGGAGGTGGGCAGAGCCAAGCACGAGCTAGCGAGATCCTATTGGCGCAATCTAGCATGCATTTGCATATTTCCATTAGGTTACGCCTACTCTGTGAAGTGTGCGTGTGCAATAACTCAATTTGACTTTGCACTCCTAAACAACGGCATTTTTTAAAACTTTGGCAAAGGGTAACGTCTAAAAAACATAGTCCAATCGGTTCGTAACATATTTTAGTTTTGGGAACAGAAAACTGTATTGCGATTAAATGTTTCATAGATGAGAAAATTAGCAGAATGTCGTCCAAACTCCATCTCGTTCCATCTTCTCCCACTGCCGGCCACAGGACTTCCTCTCACTACCATATTTGGTAGTGAATGGAAACGCCAAGCGGATGCTTCACATTTATACAGTACCAGTCAAAATTTGATTTGAATGTTGTCCACAAAAGGAGTTGCGGTGTATATAATATTTGTAATTTATTTAATAATATTTGTAATTTATTTAATTGTGTGGGTTATTGTCGTTTGTCTCATTGGGGCTAATCATCATGATTGGGGGGTTATTATTACTTAACTTTCCATCTCCTTTTGTCTTTCCACTATCATCAAGCTGTGTAATGAGACATTTTAGAAAATTCACACAGCTTCCCAGTCAACCACCGCAGCAGGAATGCTGTGATACAAAATCACAGCATATCCCCCAAGGCAAAGAAGGGGGATATTCTGTGAAGCCTGTGAAGACCAACCCAACATACTGTAAGTCATAGTTATTCATTTCAAATCAACTGAGCATTTCAGGCACACACATTGAAAAGTTTCAGCAAAAAGTGCATGACCAAATATTGCATATTTCAAATTGAGTGCTTAAAAAATAACAGAAAACACATTGTAGAATGAGTAGATCACTACATAAACGAATTGATAGCATCATAACTCAGAGCAGTAAATAAAAGGAAATTAAATTCACTACCCATTTAACAAACATTTCCCTTTTCAAAAAAAAATGACATGCTAGGTAGACAGGCTCCTGGATCTCCTTTTCAACGAGGTCACCCTTGATCCAGCGCCGTATATGGTGAAGCTGTGTGCGCTGTCCATCCCAGGACCCCAGTTTGCCCAGTGTGAGAAGCCTGACAAGGAGGAGGCCATAGCTGGATTTGTGTCCCACTTCAATCTTGGGAATGACTGAAGCCAAGTGGGTGACTGAAGCCTGCTTGACTGAAGCAGGGCACATGGATCCCCCTCCTCTCCCGCTCCCCTCCCCATCAATCTCTGTAGTCGGTTGCATTTCCTAAAGCCTAAGTAATTCACTTTTACGTGATATGATATCATATTTTGTTACATTACTTTTTAAAGCATTCAGACGGGAGATGAGTGTTACAAATTGTACAAATCAATGGCGGCCGGGTGCCTATATTAGGCTTATGGATCCCCCAAAAAATATTCTGTCAAATGATGTCTTACCATTATTTCTCACCTTTATTTCTCATGAGTGTTCATGTTGATCAATAATTTGGCTATACTGGCCCATTGTAAATTATCAAATAAATGTCTGATCAATAGATACTATTCTGAACATAGTAATTTATAATGTTAATGCAGAGGCACCAATAAAGTGTCCAGTACACTTATTGAATGCTGTTTTTATGTACATTCCCTTATGTCTAAGCTTTTAAGGTGACTCAGGCTTTACTCATTCTTGTGAAGAGGTGTATCAGTGAACTGTATTCTGTAATTATACTGAACAACTAAAATATAAACGCAACATGTAAAGTGTTGGTCCTATGTTTCATGTGCTGAAATAAAAGATCCCAAAAATGATCCATACACACAAAAAGCTTATTTCTCTCAACTTTTGTGCACAAATTTGTTTACATCCATGTTAGTGAGCATTTATCCTTGGCCAAAATAATCCTTCCACCTGACAGGTGTGGCATATCAAGCAGCTGATTAAACAGCATGATCATTACACAGGTGCACATTCTGCTGGGGACAATAAAAGGCCACTCTAAAATGTACAGTTTTGTCACACAACACAATGCCACAGATGTCTCAAGTTCTGAGGGAGCATGAAATTGGCATGCTGACTGCAGGAATGTCCACCAGAGCTGTTGCTAGAGAACTGAATGTTCATTTTTTTACCATAAGTGTCACGTTCGTTGAGTACAGGATTGGACCAAGGTGCAGCGTGGAATGCATACATGTTTATTTATTAATTAAACACAGACAAAACAACGTAACGTGAAGCTCACAATGGCTACACACAAACAAGCCAAACCAGTCCATTAAAAAAATTGGAGGCCCCTTACACTTCAGTGTTGTGATGCAAAAATTCTAGCAAAATATATAGCGCATAGAATTAAAAAGGTATTGTCGGATATTATTCATTCTAATCAGACAGGTTTTTTTACATGGAAGATACATTGGAGATAATATAAGGCAAGTATTGGAAACAAAAGAACACTATGGAAAATATGGGAAACCAGGCCTGCTATTCATAGCAGACTTCGAAAAGGCATTTGATAAAGTACAACTGGGGTTTATATATAAATGCCTGGAGCATTTCAATTTTGGAGAATCTCTTATAAAATGGGTCAAAATCATGTATAGTAACCCTAGGTGTAAAATAGTAAATAATGGCTATTTATCAGAAAGTTTTAAACTGTCAAGAGGAGTGAAACAAGGTTGTCCACTATCGGCATTTCTATTTATTGTGGCCATCGAGATGTTAGCTATTAAAATCAGATCCAATAATAATAGAGGATTAGAAATCCAGGGCTTAAAAACAAAGGTGTCATTGTACGCTAATGATTCATGTTTTCTTTTAAATCCACAACTAGAATCCCTCCACAGCCTCATAGAGGATCTAGATACATTTTCTAACCTCTCTGGATTACAACCAAATTATGACAAATGTACTATATTACGTATTGGATCACTAAAAAATACAATTTTTACATTACCATGTAGTTTACCAATAAAATGGTCTGATGGTGATGTGGATATACTTGGAATACATATCCCAAAGGAAATAAATGATCTCACTTCAATACATTTGAATAGAAAGTTAGCAAAGATAGATAAGATCTTACTACCATGGAAAGGTAAATACCTGTCAATTTGTGGAAAAATTATTATCCCAGTTTACCTATTTGCTTATGGTCTTGCCTACGCCTAGCGAACAGTTTTTTTAATTATACGAGAAAAAAAAAGAAGAAAAAAAATCCATTTTATTTGGAACGGCAAGCCAGACAAAATTAAAAGGGCCTATTTATATAATGAATATGAATTCGGAGGACAGAAATTATTAAATATTAAAGCATTAGACCTATCACTAAAAGCTTCAGTCATACAAAAGTTATACTTAAATCCGAACTGGTTCTCAAGCAAATTAGTAAGATTGTCTCACCCAATGTTCAAGAATGGCCTTTTTCCCTTTATTCAAATTACAACCACTCATTTTCAGTTTTTTGAAAAGGAAATCTCCCAAATATCACTATTTCTAAAACAAGCCATAGAAAGTTGGGTGCAATTTCAATTTAATCCTCCAGAAACGACAGAACAAATAATGCAACAAATATTGTGGTTAAATTCAAATATACTAATTGACAAAAAACCTTTGTCAAAAAATAAATGTTTAAAAAAGGGTATAATCTTCGTAAATGATGTCATCGGTAGGACTGGTGGAATTATGTCGCACATGCAGCTAACAAAAACATATGGAAATGTCTGCTCTACCCAAAATTACAACCAAATAATTGCAGCCTTACCGCAAAAGTGGAAGAGGAATGTGGAGAAAGTAAGGAACTTGTCTGTCGGCCTTGCATTAAATAACATAATTGGTTAAGGAAAACTGTGATAAATAAAAAAGTATATCAGTTTCACTTAAGGACCAAAGGATTGACAGCCGTCCCATATAAATTGCAAAATAGTTGGGAAGAGATTTTTGATGTACTGATCCCATGGCATCGTGTTTATGAACTGACACGCAAAACGACACCGGATTCAAAAATTTGAATCTTACAATTTAAATTATTATATAAAATTATTGCTACCAATATAATGTTATTTATATGGGGGATACAATCTTCCCAGCTCTGCTGATTTTGCTGTGAAGAGACAGAATCATTAGATCATTTGTATTGGTTCTGTCCATTTGTAGCTTGTTTTTGGACACAGGTCCAGGAATGGCTAAATGATTGCAATATTTACCTGGAGCTAACCTTGCAGATAGCATTACTGGGTGATCTGAAAAGTCATAGTCAGTCGATCAATAATATAATAATACTTTTAGCAAAAATGTTTATTTTTAATTCACAATCTGTAGAAGCAATGAGAATAGAAAGGTTCAGAACTTTTGTAAAACATCACATTACAGTTGAAATATATATGGCAAATAGAAATCCTATATGGATGGTGTTAAGAGATAGATGGGAGGTGTTGAATGGAGTTGAAGGATGGGACTAATAACAAATAATAATAATAATAGCTTTTGGGAAAGAGCACAGTTAGAAAGATATGGCATATAGAAGCAAACCGGATGGACATCATGAAAATGATCGGAGAGGTTGAGAGTAGAAGCAAAAATAAATAAAATATAAATATTGTAAAATTGACTGTGTCCATAAGG